TCCACTCACCAGAGAGAGAGAGAGAGAGAGAAAACACTGACTCTTTTGTATGACCTATGAAGACAGACCACCCCTCCCTCTTTTCCTCACCCGTCTGCCCCCAGTCCTGCTCAGTGGGCCCTATCTTTCTGTGTAATGTGCACCTGCTCAGCCTGCAGGACATCTCACACACACTCTCAAACGAACGTTAAAAAGAGTCAGAGTGAAAGGGAGAAACAGAGGAGAAGAAAAATGCCTGGCATTCCTCACTTTCCTCAACAGGCAGGCTCCATACCTATCTGAGTATCAATTAAGACCCCACAAGACAAAGGAGGGGGGAAAAGGGTCCTTAGAGGATTTCTTTTCTGTCTAGGAACTGTATTTTTGAAGGTGAGCACAATGAATTTCTGAGCATAGAGACACAGATGCAGTGTAGAGCCAGGCTAATCTTTGCTGGAAGTTCCAAGAATGCTTATCCAAATGATTTATTTTGGGTTAAAATGTCTCCATGTAACTCAATGGACCTGGGCCTTGTGCACCGACTGCAGAGTTCAATTTTCATGGATGTTTTTATGCAAGTGTCCATTATTACTGGTTTAATTCCCTATTAGACTTAATCAATTTACTCAATGGGTTATAAAGGAACGAAAAATCAGCACACGAATATTACATATGCAGCTTCAAGCGTTACCAGACCATTACCCAGCTCTAATAAAATTCAGATTTTAGAACTGAACTGATTAACTGCAAAGCATACAGGAGCTTTTTTTATCCTGATCTAAAACAACGGATGTGACCATCTACAAATATCAAAGCTTAATGTAGCAATGTGTGCAGTTACTGTTTATATCACGTTTGTATTCATTCGTCATTTGCTGAGTGGGCCAGTTAGAAATGCATGCATACTTCTTTTAGAATTGTGTTTCCTAAAAACTGTGTACTAATGATGTTGAATTAGCATTCTTGTTTTAGTACCGAAAATGCGCATTTACAAAAACAAAGAGACTAACAGTCACACTTGCAGAAGTAGGTCATCTTACCTTGGGCTGACCCTCCCAACAATCAATATGCTCTAATGTATCCCACTGGAAATCCTGGATACCTTCAATCAGCTCTGATTCAGCTGATATCACCTTTAATCAGGGGGTGTAAAATTCAGCTATGAGGGAAGCCATCAACGCCGATTTTTTCAGAAAAAGGGCAGATATTTGAACAGAAATATGAAACTGTGTTTTTTTGTCAAGCAACTTCTCCACTTTGCACCCAAGCCCTCACTCCGCCACAGGCTAGCTTAAACTACTGACATCAGCAGGAAGGTGCCAGGAGGTAAAAATCAAACTCTTGCCAGACGTTACTCTCCTTGAAAGGTTTTCAAGGTAAATTCCATCACAAAGACTTACCCATGATAGAAAAACAAGGATAATAGTGTCCTTTTAATAAAAAACAATCAAGATGAGTAAAAATAGTACAAGTCAACTAATTTAACCCACATTACTGCAACAATTATTTTCATATAGGACACCCACCATCCAAAATAATAACACCATTTAAGTATGGCTGAATTAGTTATTCTACAACTGGGCCAATCAGTTATGTAACCAATGCCTTGGATTCCATGAATAAGTAAGTTGAATAAGTCACAGAGAAGACACTCCCTGAAGAAGTCTTTGGAAATAGGTCCACACTGCCGCAGAGAGCTGAGTTAAGACTTGAAAGACAGACCCCCGAGGTTTAGCGTTGTGTGTTACAGTACTGTGTCGTGTGCGTGTTTACTTGTGTGAGAGAAAGGGAAAGGTCTTCATAATTTATGCCATGCAGTAATGCAGCTGTGGTACATCAATGGGGAATAATATTATGGTAGGAAGTGAGAAAAATAGCTAATATAAAACACACCAAACAACCAAAAAAAACAAGCCAAAAAAAAGGCGGGAGCAAGAATGCTCTATGAGACACACTGAGATGCCGCCGGATCAAAGGATGAGAGAGAAGATGTGTCACTAAAAGGCAGAATGAAAAACTGATCAGAGGCACATGGGAGCCATGTACTGTTCCCTTTTAGTTTACTGCTATCAGTCCATAAACCTCGGTCCTTAGAATAAAATAAGTGAAAAAATAGGATGCAGGTTGATGCAAGAATATAACATATCATCATGCATATCTAACAAAACAGTTCTTTCTTTTATAAAAAAATAAAAATAAAAATACCAAAAGAAGTGTAAACAACAAAACAATATTGTGACTTAAGACTTTCTAAACTCTCAGCTTCCACTAAGGCAGCAATCTTTGGGATTGACTATGTGCTGGTTCTAAAGTTGGAAATGATCTGACAGCCATTTAAAGGAGAAAAAAAGAACATTTGAAAGGGCAAAATATCCCTTTTTGCAAGTCTCCAAAGACTGATGTGAAAAGAGCTTGTTCCTCTTCTTTTTAGTGTGAGTTTGTGGTATATACATGTAGATGGAAATGTGTGTGTACCTGGTTGTCTGCAGGCACAACTGTGTTAAACGGCAGTGATCAAATTCAAAAGTGTTAGAATAGGACAGGAGATTGTGTGGGGGTGGGGGCGTCTTTTCTCGTGCTTTGACTCTGCCGTGCTTTGAGACTCCTAACGGATGAGAGGATTTCTATGGCAGAGAAGAGAACTGCTGGTTGGAATGGAGCTAAACCGCCACACTCAGCCAACTAACATTCACACATTTTCAAAACCATTCATTATTCATTACACTCCCTGCTGGCCGGCAGTCTAACCTCAGAGTCAGAACGGAAGTATGTTCTGGTCCCGGCATATCAGTATGACCCAGGAGTATAAACTGATTAAAGGGATACTTCAGAGCAAAAAAATATAAGGGGAGTGCTTACAGATACCCTTGGTGCTTGTTTAAAGGATTGGAAGTCTTTTAATAACCTGCATCCTGCACTCTATCTAGGTTCCCCATTTCCTGAGTGATTAAGAAGGATGAACAGCAGAAATAAGGGCTGGATCACAGCTTGTTTCATTAGTGGAGCACAGTACAAATCTATTTCTAAAATCACAAGGTGGGTTTGGTAATAAAATTGTAAATGAAGAAAGAATCAAGATGCCAGCACAAATCCACAGTGTTCCTGTAAGCAGAGTTCTGCACGTTTTACAGAATGAGTGACTTGCTTCCACGGACATCAACAAGTCTGTGACCTTGAGGAGTCCCCCGCCCCTCATCCATCCGTTCATCCTCCCACCCCTCCTTACTCAACCACCTCAGCACCAGCCTCACACGGTGTTTGGAGCAACAGTAGATTTTGGGCCTGAGCTGAGCATTAGGAGATGAAATGTCCTGAGTGAGTGTTAGCAATGCGACTCAACTTGCCTTTCAAGCTCCCGGGACACATTCCTCTCTATTTCCACTGAAACGCCAGGACAGTGCGCGCGCATGCGAGCAAGGCACAAGTGTAACTGAGTAGTCTAAGATGCCAAAACGCTTTACAGAAGACGCAGTATTATTCAATGTAAAACGAGTAGTGTGTGCGCCTTTATGGCACTTTATCAATAACTGCTGAGCATTTAACCTTGTGCATCCAACACATAATAAGTAACAGCCCCAAAAGCCCCCCCCCCCAAACACACTGCGCTCTCTTGTGTGCTCTCTTTATACATCTCCAAAGCTATAACTATCAGGTGCACCTCCACACTGCGTCGCCTAGATGCCTTGGCTATTCATTTCACCTCGTCCACTCAACTTTCCAGTCATCAAGAAATGCTGCTGGCATTCCTGAATTTCCCCTGGCAGCACTCCTGTATCTAATGACAGAACGCCAGATAACAGCAGAACCCGGACCTGCTTCATTTATTCCGGACAACACCGGCGACAAACAGCTTACCTGCTCCATGCAAAAGGGTCGAGGGCGCACGGGCAGTGAACGTGGCGCTCCGCTCGGTGCCTTCAAAGCGCGCTTCCAATGTGCACAGAAGACATAGTACCATTGGACGGCTTCGGGTTCCCCGGCAGAGCAGTCCCTGTGGCCGTCGTCGCCAGCCTCACAGCCTCGGATAGCGCGCCATCGTGCGGTTGATTGGAGCACGCGGTGCAACAGGTACGATAAGTGCACGAGGACAAGTGGGGATGCTGCGTTCAAGTAACCTCTCTGGCGTTAGAGAGCGCGAAGGGTCTGACTGAGAGTCTCCGCTCCTTTTCCTAAGAGGCATTTCTACCTGGGTTTAAAGAGACGTAAGTAGGTTGTCTGAGTTGCATTAATGATTAAAACAAAGTTTAAATGATCAAAATGCCAAAGAAAGGAGCATTAGTGCTTCCTTTCGGATCTCTTTAAGAACAGCATAGAACGAGAGAAAAGTGACAGAGTCCCACACTTCCAACTTTGACAGTGACGCTCGATTATTATCACCTGGTCGATGTAACTGTTTCTTGTGGATAAATAGGATAAATTAGCTTTAGTACTGTAGACACGACTTAAAGTGTGTCCAAATATCTTTGCAGACATTTAGCTTTATGTTTACTTGAGTGACACAGTGAAACCGTTTGGTAGACTAGGCTACCACTATGTCAGAATGCATATAAATACGTAATGCTGCAAGTCAATTAGTTTGAATGAATATTAACTTTGCCTTTGAAGGGGATCTCATCTTGTGTTTTTTATTTGAATTCATTATTCTTTTTTTCTATCAAAAGCCTAGTGAGCGTATTTGTTTAGTTTTGTATTTGTGAATTTTGTAAATGTTACATACCAGTAGATGGCAGTATTTCCCCTTATATCCATCTTTGTAACGTAAAGCTGAAAAATACACATACTAATTTCCGGTGGTCGAATTATTACTAACGGCACCTATGTGGCCTTCAAAATAGAAATATGTTTTTTTCCCTTATTTTTTTAAAGGACACAACATATATCTAAATGCGAATTGGACCCACACAAAATAATTCTTATAAGAAAGTTATATTTTTGTACTTATGCTGTATTCAATTTTTTTATTTGTAAACGTACCAGTTCTCATCTACGATTACATTATTTTGAAATAATACCGGATGAATAACATTTCCAGTCTACAACTTTAGAGACCAGCATTGATGGATGCTGCTTTCGTTAGCTAATGTGTGGTCTTCTTTTTAGCTAATAACCACGTACAGATATGTCCAAGAAGTGGAAAAATTACTCACATACCCATAAAGAATTTTCATTGTCCTGCAGGTTCATTTCACCAGGTGAGAATTTAATCAAGCCTCTCGAAGGGGGTGGTTAGCATAATTTCATTTATGAAAATGACCGTTACTTGGGATATTGTGCAGATTAAAACAGTGGATATCTGTTTTTATTAAACAGCATGCTAATTTGGCAGATATTGATAATAAAATGAGGACACATATTGGGCGTTGTTTGTGTGTGTTGGTTGACAACCCGAGTTAATTTGTCACCCTCGTGAACTGTTTAACTATGCAGGGAGCTGAGGTGCTTTTTAAAATCAACTTTAGAGAAATGATAATAAGAGAGACACGCTCAAAAAAAGTATTCTGATTGTCTCGTTGTGTTTAAAACTAACTATTACCGGTGTGGGGTTTAGACGGGTGCTGTACCAACAGTTGTTCCCAATGGCAACGGCGCGTTTCCCGGGGAAAAGTCCAGTCTACGCCAACAGCAGCGCTCCAGTCCCGGGGGGGGCTCAGTGTGTCGACGGGACCCCGTGGATCTTCTACCTGCTGGAGCAGTGCGTGGACAATATGTGGGAGTACTCCAGCGTGATGATAGGACTAATATCTATGTTTTGTTTTCTGCTGTCCACTTTGCCGTAAGTAGCCACCGATTTAATTAGTAGTGATGCTCACATGAAAATATATGTGATTTAGATGCATCTGACGTTGACCTGCCCCTTTTATCCACCCATTAGGCAGGTCTATGAGGCGTACCGGACTGGTAAAGTGGAAGAAGCTATGTCTTTGGGATTTCTTTTTTTCCTCTTCTGTGGGGATTTGACCAGTTTTGCAGGCTGCTATCTCACCAGCCAGCTTCCTATTCAGGTGAGCCCTCTATTATGTTAATAAAGTTATATATGCTCTATCAATAAATGCCTGAGCTTTTACATAAAGTGCTCTCTTTTTTTCCTTACCTCCTGTTTTGTTCTCAGGTAGTCACAGTGGTGTTTTACATCTTTACAGACGTGATCCTCATCTCACAGTTTTTCTACTACAAGCATAAAAACAGCTCCAGCAGAAGTAAGCCATCATATTAACTCAGTACTTTTACTAAGGGGCTGTCGCATGTTTTGATGGTGTTTAGGGTTTTCCAGCCTCTGGTGAAATAAGTTTTCAGCATTAAAGAATTTAATCAAAGTTATGTTTGAAATTCAATTATAATGCTAAGATAGTGTGTCTTATCATGGATTTCTATAAGGACTCATGTGAGCAAGAATTAATATAATGATAATAAGGAGGATAAAGTAAATAGATTTGGCCTAAGATGGTGTGTTATTGCCACAAACACAACATGTTCCCTTCATAAGATTTGGACTAAGCCTTAAAACATTCTCCACCTCCTCTTTTATAGTCATTGTTTTAAATTTAACAAAAAAAAGTTTTCCTGGTCTTATTTGAAAGAAAAAAGAAAATTTTTCGAACACGCAAGTGCTATCAGTTTCACTGCACAGACCTCTTTGAGCTATTGAAGGACAAACATTTCTTCTTGTAATCTGGCTTTTATAGGAGCAAAGCAAAAGTCTGGAAATGCTAATATGCCGATTGTCAGCCACGTTTTCTGAAACATTCAACCCGTTTTTTTTTACAGAAACTGAAATATGTTTCTATGGGGTTCAACTTAATTTTGAATTCATATACTGTGCGTCAACAGACCAACCACCTGCTGACTTCAGTGATCACAGCCCTACCCACTGATCTGCTGTCATACAGAAACCTGCAGGCAGCTCTGAATGCACAGTGCATATTTAGTTATTGCTGTCTTTGTCAAAGTCTTTAATGCCCCACTTGATGTGTGTTTGCCTTCTAGAATTGCCCCTGTTGAAGTGGCTCTGTTTTATGTGGTGTGGTGCGGCGACATCACTTCTCCTGGCTTTAGCCAAATTCATTATAGACCACGATACAACGTTTGACCCCCAGGTAGGAGGGACATCAACATTCCTTCACTTTTAACTGAGATAGTAATCCATCTGCTTCTCGCATCAGTGCAAAATCTACCCTTTCACCTCTGCATCGCTCCCTCTTGGTTTTCATCTTTTCCTAGAGTACAGCTGCCTCCCAGTCAGTGGGAATAACTGGCTATATATGTGGATACTTGGCATCTGTGTTCTACCTCTCCTCCCGTTTTCCACAGCTCTACAAAAATGTAAGCAACAATGCACTCGACTTTGTCTCTTTCGTAATGGAAAGCTGAGCTTATTAAAGGGATTGAGTGTGCATGTGGCTGCAGAGGGAGATGAGATTTGCATGTTTGTGTAAAATGGTATGTGCGTGAAAATGAAAAGCAGGCATCAAAGACAATAGTGCTGTTGTGTTGAAGAAACAGACTGGCACAAATACAGCTATTAATCACAAGAGGGGATACTCTCTGTGGGCTGCCAGTGCCAGAGAATTATCCGGGCACAAATCATAGCTCACTGATGGTTGTAAATCATTAATATCAGATTTTTCAAATACAATAATCAAATTGTCTTCATCATAATATTTCAGAATTACAGAATAAAAAAAGAAGTCTGTAAAAACAGCTATTAGTGTTGCTAAATGTAAGAATTCTCTCAGTATTGCCAGTTGCCTTGTAGGGCCTGATGTTCACATCGCGTTGCCAAGCACACTTTTGACATCAGAACAGAGCGTGAAAATACCCATTGTTGATTCAGGGTTAAAAATGTTGCCATGGTTCCAAGAAGCTGTATCTGTGCATGTTTTAGATGAGAACGCTGTGATGAGCGCAGCTCATCTTTTGAGTTCAGGTACAAGTGCTTTCCACAGTGTGTGCTGCCACCGGAATGAGGTCGTGGAATGAAGTCATTGTTAGTCATCATCTCATCAGCAGTAAAAATAATTTCATCTAACCACCAAAACATTGTGCTAACTCGAGGAAATAACACCCAGGGACACATTGATTAGTGCATGTCTCTTAATCCAGTATCTGCTCCACTGTAGTTCCAGCGCCAGTCTACAGAAGGTACTTCCTACCTTTTGTTCATCCTGGCTATGATGGGCAACGGGACATACGGGCTAAGTGTCGTCCTGGTCCTCCCTGCCCTGAGGGGTTCGAAGCAGGACTTCATCATCAAACATCTGGCCTGGCTGGCAGGCAGCCTGGGTGTCTTCATTCTGGATTTTTTTGTATCCTTTCAGTCTCTAGTGTTACATCAACAGCACAAAGTAAAAAATACATGCATTTGTTTAAATTATACAAATTTCTCAAAAAAGTTTGTTGGATGCTCGATCAAACTTGGGACAAATGGGGCATAGATAGTCGAATGAATACAGTGTGAAACGTTTGCTGAATAATCTCTGTTTATACTCCTTGACAATACTAGGTGATCATCCAGTTTGTCATGTACAGGAAGAGCATCTCCTCCAAAGGGAGCACGCAGCTCACTGTCCCAGAGGTGGAACCTCTTCTGTGTGAGGACGAGGAGCTGTCCATGCTGTAGAACACTGGCTTAGGTCGCTGACGGGGGAGTGAGACTGCGGCTCATTTCCATCAGACTCAGAGGACACTGATCAGCACCAGAGTCAGAAGGTTATTCATGTGTGCCATTAGTCTGTTTTTACTGCTGAGAGAGGACAAACTCCTCTGGTTCAAAGTGGTAAAGAGAGGGGAAAGGCTCCAGATTTGAAATAGTTTATATGCTCTAACACTGAAAATGAAATGTAACTAGTCTTGAGTTTTCAAGCCTCTTCTGCTTTTTCTCTCCAGGATGTGTTGTTCTGTAGCCATTGCATAAGTCTACGTCTGGTTATGCAAACTTATTTTTGGAGCATTTTCATTTTTTGTCTGCACCCTGGAGAGTAATCCTCATGCCAGACGTATTGTAGTAAATAAGCGAAGTGCCTGTTAGATTTCCACACGTCTCACACGGTAAATGCTGCCATTCAAGTCTGCCATTGCAGCATCACACTGTAAAGTATGTTTGGATTTTCTCATGTACCATCACACAACCCAATCTTAATGTTAACACTGTGGCACTTTATTTGACAACATTTTATTTTTTACATTTTTTTTATGTTAGTAAATGAGGCTTTTGAGAATTATCTTAAGCAAAATGTTTGATATTTAGTCTTCATGTCATCCATGAAGACCCAGACTCTGCATATACGGACAGGTGTACCGTAAATGTTCAAATGCATGAGATTTGAATGGGATAATTGAAGATTGATCCCTCCACTTTGTTGCCCTCAAAGATTTTTTTTTCCATTTTAACTGAAAACCATGTATTTGGGCTGAATAACTTCATTTTTATAGGATTCTGACACAGAATTTATTTATATATGGTATATGTTTTTCTGTTATTTGCAACTGTCCATTCCTTCATTATGAGCTCTTTAAGTGGTTTGCTACTTAACACTCAGTTTTCTGGTAATGACATTCCTTTTTTTAATGAATGTATTTATTTATTTTAAATTAATGAGTTTTTTTTATTTTTTTGGATGGCAAATCCACCATTGGACTTTATGAAAGGGCCTTGAGGAAAAAGCAGTCCACAGAGGCAAAACCCACAGGTTTTGGCTGTTTTGAGTAGAGATTTGTTCAGTGATGGAAACTCTCAGGGTCTCAGATAGCCCGATGGTCATAATTATCACAACAAAAGGGGGGAAAGACAAAATCAGTTTTTCTCCCACTAGCAGTACAGTAACTCAGCCTCCCACTTGCTCTGAGGAAGCACTGGCAGTATATAATGCTGCTTTCCACCACATGCACTCTCCACCCCGAAGCACATAACTGTTCATTTCTGTGTCTTCAGAATTCTCTCAGCATTAGAGCTTAATTTATAAATGTGGTTAAGGGATTTGGCTAAAAATGCTGCCTCACCTTTCTAATCTGTAGTCAACTTTTGAAATACCGTTAGAGAACATGAGCCTGTAAAACATTTTGTCTTTGTAAAAAATGTACATATTTCTTATAACATACACTATAGAAAATGTTGTATTTGATGTAAGACTATAACTGGTGATATTGTATTTTCAGAATGTTATTTTATAGGAAACCCCAATCCCTTTTTTAATCACAGTAACCAGATCAGCCTCAGCTTTACAGGAGGGGTGTTGGGTTGCCATGTCCCACATAAATCCCCCCTATAGTGGACGTGATCCCTCCAAAACAATGCACAGAAGAGGTCTCTATAGCTAAATGAAAGCTATATATTAGGAGCAGATCAACTAATGTATCATTAGAAAACCTTTATGTATTTTCCATCCTACTCTCCTGGAGAAATCTCTCCCACCCCCCCCACATTTATGTCTGCCTGGTGAAGTCTTCTAAATGGGTGAGCCAGCAGGGTGTCCTCCGCATCAGTGATGGGAATGATGCTGCCTACAAGAGGCCGCCTGTTAGGTTATGTCTGTGTTTTTATGGCGTCATTGGACAAAACCCATTGCTGGTTATTTGTCTGATGCCACCACTCTAACAAATACTGTCTGGAAGCAACCATATTTGACTTTTTCAGAAGTCACATTTCCTTATGTTTCAATAGCCTTTAACACCACCTATGTGCACTGGAAAGGCACCATTTACCTGTTTTGTGACATGCCGTATGGTGACATGCCCCAGGTGGGGTGAGAACAAGGTTTGTGCCCCTAGGCTCCGACCTGTCCTGTCAGCAGAAGCATCTGGATACATAGGATGAAGGCTTATTCTTAGTTTTTGTCCTTACGCAACAGTCTTCTACTTATTTAAGCCAACACTTATAGACCCACCAAACCCTTTCCTGGCCCTCTTCAAGTCAACGCTAAACAGTCTGCTTACTGGTGATATTGTATTTTCAGAATGTTATTTTATAGAGACAATTTTCTTCTTGGAGTTTGTTTATTATTCTAACCTCAGAGTCCATGTCATGTTTTTGTATTAGAATTGTGTGTTTACTGCACAAAATGGGAATAAAGTTCAACTTACCATCCTGCTGAATATGTCACTTTCTCATTTTAATGAGATGGAAACAAATACAGGAACTTTGATGTTAATACATAGAGTTCCCTCCAGAGTGATGTGATCATTTCCCTACGTTTAAATCCCGCTGAGTAGAAATTATGTCATTTATTCAGAATCTCCCTCATCTCAGGGTGACGCATTGCTTGGGACTGGCATTGGTGATGACACGGGTGTGTGCAAACCTAACGTGATTTAGAAATGATTCACTAGCAAGGTCTATAATCTGGCAGGGTTCAAACAAATGTCCAGACGACATGGCAGGATCTATGCCACACGATGATGGCCAACAGAAAGTGCTCAAAGAAGCTCAGGAGGTGTTATTATGGACCAAAGAAACCAAGATTAACCTGAATAAGTGTTACTTAATTCATATTAAGTCGACAACATTCGTTAGTTTAGATGTTCCTTTATCCCGTAAATGAACGTAAAGGTGAAACGTCAGGTCTCCGACCCCCCCACCTCCCCCTCCTTCTGAGCGAGCTCTTCGGTGACCAATTGATGGCGTGTCTGAGGGCGGGGTTAGGAAAATGATTACTTTTGGGAGGAGGGACTTCCTCCAGAGTTGCAGTTGGATGGCAGTACGCTGGTCCTCGGTTGACACGTAACTAAAATTAAAGGTGTTTCGGAGGCCTCGTTCCGGACGTCAGTTTTAAACTTTTTTGCAAGCTTGCCTGGCTTGGAGAAGAAACCCCGAAACCCGGTCGAGGAAAGGAGAAGGAAACTGGGGTTGGGGGGGGGGGAGAGTAGGCGCCAGCCTCGGTTTGTTTTGCTGTTCAAATCAGGGCAGAGCAAAGCGGAGCAGAGCAGGACTCTTGAGTTGAAGTCAAGCGAAAACCTGAGCTGCTACTTTCAAGTCCCTGGCGAGAGTCTCGAGTGGATGCGTCTAGGTCGAAATAATGCACGGGCAGGGCGAATGTTAGCGGCTAACTCGTACTTTCTGCTTGGAAATGTTCGGGAAGTGAGGGAAAGGGAGTGGGGGGTGGTAAAAAGTTGACTCGGAAGTTTCCAGCGGCAGAAACGGGGCTTTCTCGCTCGGAGGGCTGCGGGACTACCATGGGGAACGGGGTGTGCTCCCGGAGGCAGCGGAGGATTTTCCAGTGTCTCCTGCTGGTCACCGTGGTCTGCGGGATGATGTACGGCGGAATGGTGTCGTACGAAATGCACAAGCAGCTGAGGAGGACCGAGGCGATGGCCCTGAAGTATCAGCAACATCAGGAGTCGCTCTCGGCTCAGCTCCAAGGTAAACAGAGGGACCGTGACGTGATTGAGAAGCGAGCCCTGCGTAAACTTTACCGACAAAAACCAAACATGTCATCGTTTTCTGCCGGACATTTGTTAAAAAAAAAAAAAGACGTTTGAGACTTAAACCAACCTAGCATTTATTTGAATACCAGCCCCGGCTAAGCTAAAAAAAAAAAAGTCCCCAGAAACTTGGGAGAAACTGTCAAAAACTGTCACATTTAGCAAGACGCCACATCGAAATGTGGTTTTTCTACCAAGTGTCAGTTTTCGGTCCCGTTTTGTAGTCGACAGAATGTTGTCACCACGTAAATTATCACTTTTGCTGTTTTTTTATTTTCGGCCTTAATAGTGTGTAAAAAAAACTACACGAATGTGCATGTAGGTTGTGGGTCAATTGTCGGAGCAAATGTGTGCTGTTGTGAGCCTAACGGTGGCTGTCCCCTAACCGGCCTGGCTGCTCTGGAGCCTTTGGGCTGCTTTTATTTGAGTGGGTCTCTCACCTGAGAAAGTGAAATGAAACCCCTCCATTCCCGGAGGCACGCAGACTTCTGCTGGCTGTCGCCATGGTTACAGGTCATCTCAACAGTTTAACTATCGGTCACGAGGTCACCCGGAACATCTGCTGCCACACGTGCAGCTGGACGGAGGTGGGGAGCCAGTCCCCATTTATCACAGTAACCAGATCAGCCTCAGCTTTACAGGAGGGGTGTTGGGTTGCCATGTCCCACATAAATCCCCCCTATAGTAGACGTGGTCCCTCCAAAACAATGCACAGAAGAGGTCTCTATAGCTAAATGAAAGCCATATATTAGGAGCAGATCAACTAATGTATCATTAGAAAACCTTTATGTATTTTCCATCCTACTCTCCTGGAGAAATCTCCCCCCCCCCCCCCACACACACATTTAAGTCTGCCTCTGGTGAAGTCTTCTAAATGGGTGAGCCAGCAGGGTGTCCCTCTGCATCAGTGATGGGAATGATGCTTCATACAAGAGGCCGACTGTTAGGTTATGTCTGTGTTTTTATGGTGTCATTGGACAAAACCCATTGCGGGTTATTTGTCTGATGCCACCACTCCAACAAATACTGTCTGGAAGCAACCATATTTGACTTTTTCAGAGGAGCAGCTTTCTGCTGATCAGCAGTCTTCAGGCCTATAGTAGAATACTGTTTTACAGTTACATGCCAAAGCCCTGGATTCGTATTTATTGTGATGAAATGTCTTCATCATAACGCCACATATGTGCACCACCTATCCTTATGTTTCAATAGCCTTTAACACCACCTATGTGCACTGGAGAAGCACCTTTGACATGTTTTGTGACATGCCAAATGCCCCAGGTGGCGTGAGAACAAGGTTTGTGCCCCTAGGCTCCGACCTGTCCTGTCAGCAGAAGCGTCTGGATACACATGGATGTAGGCTTCTTCTTAGTTTTTTGTCCTTACGCAACAGTCTTCTACTTATGTAAGCCAACACTTATAGACCCACAAAGCCTGTCCTGGCCCCCCTCAAGTCAACGCCAAACAGTCCGCTCCTATTTCAGACAGATTGCCTATATAATGTCACCCTTTCAATGTGTTCTTTTTCTTGGGCTCTATGTGGCTCATCTTGTGAACCACACCCATAGTTTTCATTGTTAAAAGATGCATCATTCAGCCTATCACAAGGCCCATTCCCCCTGATGTCCCCATAGGCAGCAGCTGATTGCCGTTTTGTCCTATATTCAGAGGTTGGCCGTTGCTCGGGGATGTGAGCGGGCCATATTGATTAGCTGTTACCCTCTGTAACCACATCCTGGCACTTGTTACGGATTTAAAAGGAAACGGCTGACAGATGTGGCACTGTGATCTCACACCTATTCACTCCGTCCCCCCCCCCTAACTTTATATAGCAAACTACTAAAGTTGATCAACTGCATCAGAGGAAACAACATCTAAGCTGAATGAATCATTTTACCCACACTTGCTGGTTTACAACTTATCTGAAGATGCAATTCAGGATATTGAGGTGGTTGTGTGGGTGATACTAACTTCTTGTTGGTAGATGGAAAGCTGCCGCAGTTGCCACAAGAGCAGGATGTTTGAAATCTACAGGCTGTTTTAGTCGATGCTTGTAATCATACTTGCTATTCAAAGTAGACTTAGTTGTTTGTATAAATTAGAATATTCTACAGCAACTTGCTTGCTTTATTTTGTTTATACTATGTATGCGTGTCCACCTTGTGAATTGTTGGAAACGTCCTTATTGAATCTGGCCTCCTCCAAAAATTGAACAGCTTTGCGTTCAGGAGGATGGGGAGCATGCATAAATCCATCACACTCCACTTCCTTTTTTACATGGCGAGCCAAATTTTATCAATACATCCTTTTCCGTGTTTAGAGCACTCAGCCAGCAAAGGCTCTCCTCTATAAAGAGCTGCCCTGTTCTTACTCTGCAGATACACTCAGCCCAAAGCCTGTTTTGTTGGAAAGTGATCAGATAGTAGTGCACATGTAAAATGGGTCAGGGTGATGGCGAGAGCTGTTTGAAAACTTGCCTCACTTTTCTGCACAGATTGCACAAAAAACCCCCTCATGAATTGCTTAGGTTAACAGAATTGGTAAATTATTTTGCGGGGAGCCAGGGCAAAGGTATCTATCTGCATATAAAAGGGCAGAACTTAAAGTGTTTGTTTTCCCTTACCGTCGCTGTCCTTTTCTGCCTCTGAGACTTTCCTGCTCTACATTTATATAACTCTAGGTAACAATCCTGATTATTGTGTCTGTCTGACCCAAGGTGAGGTTTTGTAACGCATGTGAACCGTTTTTTCCCGATCAATAGTGTACAAACTCTAACAGAAATCAGAGGAGGGAAAAACTTTGTGATTCATGGATCTCCATTTCTTATACAGGACAGCTAAATGCACCAGAAGTCGACTGGACAATCGGTTCATTATTATTTCAGTGACATAGTTTATTTGGGTAAAGGAATCCTAATCTATTTCCTACAGCAACCACCTTCATCATATTTTTTCCGACTGTGGGAGGTAGACCTCCAGCTGCAGGAGCACAGTGGGCTCCTCCATCAGCAGAAAGCTGTGGTATTCCCTTGACGGAGAGATCAGAACCGTTCAGTAAATATCACAGTTGGCTGTCGTATCAACCATAAAGTGCACATCCTCTCTGAAGCCAATGTTTAGGTCTCCATGAGGCGGCGTCCGTGTGTGCGTTGTAGCTCGGTGTTTGGTTTCCCTCCCACCTGGTCTGCGTGGATTTGTGAACACAGACTAATTCTCTGTGCTCAGCCCATTTTTCCCTTTATTTACACTTCCCCTCCACATTTCTTGTGTCCAGTGGTGTATGAGCATCGCTCGCGGCTGGAAAAGTCTCTTCAGAAGGAGCGGTTGGAGCATAAAAAGGCCAAAGAAGGTGACTTAGGGTTCATATCACATCAACAGTTTAACAGATAATTATTCAGATTTTTTTTCCATTAATAAAATAACTAATTCATCTTTATACAGCAGTCTCAACTAACCCAGTGTTTATACTCATTTGTTTTTTTTAAAGATTATCTGGTTTATAAGCTTGAGTCTCAACAAATGCTGAACAAGGAAAAGGTATGTTTTGTTTTTCTTTTTTAACATATTTTTAAGCTAATCAAATTGTATTTATGTTGCATTTTTGGGGCAGTCAGTGTCACCACTGTCTGTTCCCACAATAATTATGCTTCTCGATAGTAGTTTTACATGATTTAAAAAAACAAAATGTTATGACTCTGGTTCTTATGTTCAAACAGCAAGACTCCAACGGCAGGTTGAACTCATTACAAGTCCAACATCAGATGTTAAAGGTATGGATAGTATTACAGTCGGCACTTGTAGATCAACTCGGTTGGTAAACACTGTGGATCCTATTCCTCTTTTTGGTAAAACAGACTACCTGACCATGCCACATATTCTTCCTCTATGTGGTTTCATTGTACAGTTAGTGAGTGTGTAGTAAGGAGGCTGCCTGCTGACATCAACTGTCCTCTGTGTCAGAATCAGCACGAGGAGCTGAAGAGGCAGTACTACGAGCTGCAGGAGCAGCACCAGGAGCAGGGCGAGGACCACGGCCGGCTGCTGGACCAGCACAGGGAGCGCTACGATAAACTGCAGCAAGCCAAAGAGGTGGAAGTGGCCCAGCTCAAAGGTGGCGTTGCCCACATGCCTCGATTTATTTTTATTTCGAGCATCCTTTCGCTGAATTCACTGAACTAGCGGCTTTAAAGGCAGTTTTTTGGTTTGGTTTCCACTCTGGCATCCGGTAGCAACAAGCCATTAGAGCAAAGAGGCGGAGCAGAGCAGTGTTCAAAGTAATGCTCACACAACAGCTCTTCTTTTCCTGCACCTCTGAGGGAAACATGGCTCTGAATGTTTGTGTTGGCCTTCAGTCTTTGTGTGGGGGATTTCACCTTGAATAAAAGTAACTTTTTAGTATTTTTTTATTTGTAAGAACAATGCATAGTTGGCCTCACAATTTACTGTGAGATTGTAAAAATCCTCCTTAAAGCAGGACAAACAGCAAAGCTGTCATATGGGGCTTATACAAATTTTTCCTAAAAAGAGGGGGGAAAAGCACATGAGTGGAAATAAGTAAAACCACTCAACAAACAATGTTACAACTGCTTAAACAGAACAGAAAATTGTTCGTAACACAGCTTTTCTCATAATGTGTGTGCTGTTAACAACAGACAGCGTCTATAACCTAAGAGAGGAAAACAAACAGCTGAGGAAGGCCCACCAAGACATCCACACACAGCTGCAGGACGCTCAGGTGAGAGCCCTCTGATACATGTTTATCTGGTCGCTTTAATTCCTCCCGTGGAAATGAGCTGTAGAACTCTGGTGATGACGAATGGCTCCACAGGTCCAGCATCAGGACCTGAAGGCAGCCCACGACCAGCTCGCACTGACACTGGAGGACCACAAGAGTGCGCTGGCTGTAGCTCAGGTGAGAAGACAACCGGCTCAGCGAAGTCTCAGTTTACCTGTGTATCATGATGAAGGCAGAGTAAAAATGGGGTACTCGAGAGGTAACAAAATACCCCAGATTGCTTTGACTAAGCTATATTTACTGGGCCTAGTTCAATTATTTCATCCTCACAGCCTTAATTTCCTCCATGGGGTAGAAAAATATGAATTCCAGAAGGCTTTAAAATCCTGACCTCAGATGTTCTTCCGTTTTTTTTTTTTTCATAATTAGATATCTTCTAGAGAATGCTCTTTAAAGTGCTTGAATGGTTTATTGAATATAAAGTGCTCTGCTGGTTTCCTTTCTATCCGAGGTGATGGATATTCTTGCTCTCCTCTCTTTTTCCCATGCATTTTTTTACTTCCTGCATTTGCTAATTGGTTTTAAAGCTCGACCTGCTCTCCGTCTGTGCCTCTGGCCGCACACACACACTTGTCGCCTCACTTCAGGAGGTTTGGTTTAGTCTGGGCTGTCAGAGCGTGTACATCTAAAACACACTGCAGCCATTTCGCCAGAAATGGAGAGACAGAGGCAACAGGGAACAAAGCATTTAGGCAGGATTTTTTTTAGAATTCATCACAGAAAATGTGTGCATCAATATTGACCTGCATTTGTTTTATGTAGTGACTCAAATGTTCTGCAGCTTCTTCCCTGAGATGGGCATATCCTCCTCCTAAGCTCACCAAGGCTGAAAACACACACTCTGTCCCTATAAATACCTCTAAATACATGTTTGTTTACACGTGTGACAGCGCATTAGTCACAGTTCCAGAGCTTCCGTGTGCAAATAAACACAGAGCACACGTCACACTTTGTCAGTGATGGGCGTAAAGTTTCTGCTCAATAAAACTGACAGCTGTGACAAACATTTCTTTACACTTCCTTATCTAATAGAAGTAAAATAACCATGAAATAACTGAGTTTAAGAGAGCTCGCAAACCTTCATGGGAAGCCTGAAATGTGTACATACTTGCAGCATATCGGCCATGAATTCTAATCTAATGAAGCATTTTCATTTGTTCATTATAATGTATTCTATTTAATGTAAAATACTGATATCGTCTTGGTACCACTGTAGGTGTCAGATGTGACCTTTGTAAACTTGCACTTTACGCAGGATTTAGCCTCCCTGTTGTGTTTTCTACCGTTTTTTAGGCACAGGTGGATGAATACAGGCAACTCAGGGAGTCTCTAGACAGATCGCCCAACCAGGCCCAGCCGGAGCCGAAAGCCGCAGCGACCAAAACCCCCGAGTCCCCCGTCCATGGGCTCCAAGCAGGCGCACTGCAGCAGTCCCATAAGGAGGAGCCTGCCCAGGACAGTCACCAGGCTCACTGGGACACGGAGTCGAGGGTAAGTTAAGATGTGTACAGTAGACTGTAGCGCGTTTAGAAATGCCAGAACACTAACACATGGTTGAATGTCTTGTCCTTTGCTCTTAGTTGGCCCAGCAGGAGAAGGAGCAGCCACGCGCCCGCTCGGAGCTGGACTCTCATCCCACTGTGTCCCAGCACACCTTTTCTGAGAGGGAGGAGGACGGCGAAGGAGAGGCAGAGAGGAGGAGGGAGCTGGCTGAGGAGGAGATGGCCCAGGCGGGACAGCCTCAGAAGCTGGAGGAGGACCCGGACCAGCCCCAGGACGAGCAGCTGGAGGAGGATGAGGAGGAGGAAAAGGAGCAGCCAGACGAGAACGCCTTAGACCGACAGAAACGCCAGCCACAGCCGGTTAGAAACGTTCTCAAATACCCCAGCTCAAATCTGACCGATCACTTTGAGCTTAAACCCAATAACTCATCTTGATATCAGATATGTTGGCAGCTGGATGGTGTTTTCTTTGACTTGCTACTTTAAGTAAGTTAACTCTTCTTTTACAATCCTTTTTCATCTCTCAGGAGACCCACGCAGAGCTGCACCAGGAGGCCCAGGTGCAGCACGTGAAGTCGGCCTACGAGCAGCAGCAGGAGCAGCAGCGCCTGGAGGCCCAGAGGGCCGAGGAGCGCCGGCAGATCCAGATGCGACAGGAGGCCCTGCAGGCCCAGAGAGAGCGGGTGGTGAAGGAGAGGGAGCAGCGGCTGAGGGAGGAGCAGAAAAGAGAGGAGCAGCAGCACAAAGAGGCCGACCGACGGGAGCAGCTGCTGAGAGAGGAACACCTGAGGTTAGATTTCTAATGGTGTATTTACTTGGGTCCCCACAGATTGTACAGACTAACCCAGACATTGTTTCATTATGAGTGTTGCTGCTCTAGCTAAAGAACCAAACAGAGCCTCTTAGTATTTTTTTGGGTCTCACATTTCATCAGATCCATCAGTCATGTCACATGTGGCCATGTGTTAAAACCACAAATGACTGTGGTAGATTGGTTGTTGACACTCCTCATGTTTCCCAACATGATTTAAGAAGCTTTGCAGCTCACTAAACACCAGACTGGTTTCATAACTGCCTATTTATTCTTATCGTTATCAGGAAAAGGACAGAGTATGAGAACATGGACAACGATGTCATTCAAGGAGGGGAGGACCATCATGTTCAGAATGAAGAAGGTGAGAGGAGTGCTGCAGCATGGAGGCTTCATCATTCCCTGAAATGGAGTAAACAGTGTCAGAACCAATATCTAGGTGTGGGATGCCCTTCAAATAGCCCATGCTTGATGTAAATTATTTCTTTGACAGAGAGAGATGTTCATATGCTGCCGGGGGAGGAGGACAAACAGGAAGTGGATCACCGAGTGCCGCCACATCAGGTTATTTTTACTGTCATCTGTCCATCCTGTTCGACCCATCTGTTGAAATCCTTCCTCAACATCTGTCACAGCAGTGGGGTCACACACGTATTCAGCAGCCCCTGAAATGGCATTTGGTTTTCCATCGTCTAGGCTGCGCTCTGAGAATATTTTCAAGCACGTGTTCCAGATTTCTTTTATCAGTTCCTTCTACTTTTGTCTGTATTGATCCACCACTTCTTTAGGGTGCTGTTGACGGTGAGGTGGACCCTGAAGACGATCCCAACAACCAAGGGGAGGATGAGTTTGAGGAGGCCGAGGACGAGCAGCCGGCACACAGAGCTGCTGCTGAAGAAGAGGAGGGGGTGGAAGAGGAAGAGGAGCCAGCAGCACAGCCCGTGAAAAAAAGTCACCCGGGCCCTGGACAGCCTGCTGAGGAGGATGAGCTGGTGGTGAGTGAGGAAAGGGAGAGAGAGCACATTTACTGTAGACTGGATGGGATTGAAGAGGGGAGGGAGGGGCATTTGTGGAGGCATGCCGAACACTGGCTCAGCATGGCTGGAAGACACAACTTGTGTGTGGTCTGTGTGCTCTCAGATGGCTGGAAACCCAGATCAACAGGAAGACACACTGGATGACCAGTACCAGGAAGAAGTGGAGGATGAGGTGTCAGATTCTCATATGTAGATGTTATTTAAATGACTCTATAGGGCCTAAAAGCTAAATACTCTCTTTAAGAATGCTTGTTCTGATTTGCTGTACAGTGACAGTAGACCTGTATTTAATCAAGTACAATTTTCTGATTCTTAATGCTCCACAGGCCCAGGAGGACATAGCTGGGGGGCCGAAGAGAGAGGAGGAAGAAGTGGAGGGAGTAGAAGAGGAAGGAGAGGATCTGTATAATGAAGACAATGTCAAACAGGTGGGAGTTTGCACCTCACATCAGACACCAGTAGATTCATTCATTGCAATGTTTAGAAAAATGGGGCATTTCCCTCCTAAATGTTGGAGATTTGCAGTCGCCTCAATTACAACTTTGTCTGAGATGCAACACCTGGTAGCAGTTCTGGTAGCAGTTTCTGGTCCACAGCGCAACGTCACAATTAAACACAGAGCATTTATAAAGGGACTTTTCTGATTAAAACTGCATCTGCATGTCTGCGTTGTGTCCCTGTAACCCGAGCCCAGTCCAAGCACGTCCAGTTAAATGAGGGCAGTCAGGTGTGGGGTCAGTCAGGGTGTCAGGTTTCCACCTGCCTTTGTATTATTTATTTTGTCCTTAAAGAAAACTGAAGTGAATGGTGTTTTTTCTAGATCCACAGTCCTCGGCTACATATTGTCCAGAAAGTGTCCTCCATTGACATCTCATCTAAGGTCCATTGGTTCTAACACTCCCTTCTGTTTTTACAGGACAACATTTATGTATTTTTAGTCTCTGAATTATGCAGGCAATAACCTGTCGGGTCAGAGGTTAAATACCTGTCACATTGTTTGTTTTTGGCTTTCAAGGAAGCGGCAAAAAACCAGGAGGGGCCAAGAAATGAGGGGAATCACCAAACTGGAGCAAAGGACAATGAGGAGGAGAATTATGAAGAGGACGAGGAGGATGCAGAGGACGATGCAGCGGATCATAACAAGGGAACCAATCAGAGGGCGGAAATGTAGAAGCGACATCAGCTGCCCTGCTTCTTTTTGGCTCCCCGTAGTATAGAGCCATCCAGGTCTGCGTTTCTGTAGGTTCCATAAGGAAGAAAACCAGACCTCCATTCAGAATTCCAGGTAGGAAAATCTGGAATTCACGCCTGGAAAATGGGAAACACTGTACACTTTGGAAATGGACACTATTTTTTATGACGCAAACGGCAAATATATATATACTGTTTTTTGTGTTTTTTAATCAGACTTTTCTGTCTACTCGCATGGCTGCCTGATTGCCAGTCTGGTTCAGAGAATGTATTTTTATCAAAGTGCTGTCTGTCTGTGTGAAAAAGAGCAAAGGCCAACTATGTTTGATGTTTTTGTGGAAGTCAAATGTCTATTTACGTCTCACATCTCTGTCATCTGTGACATTTCTGTTATTTATTGCTGATGATGAAAACTCTGACAATCACAAAAGGTGCAAGGCTTCTACCCCTACCCCCCCACCCCAAAAATAACGAAACAGAAGCAGTTTGACGGCTTTAACCCACTTTAAGAGGCAGACACTCTTGGAGCATGTCCACTGGATTCTTCCCGATTAAAAGTAACTTTTTTTTTCTTGTGAACCTTTTCCATGCTTAGTGCCACTCTGACATGTGCCTTTCCATTATTGGAAACCTCCATTTGCTTTTAGTAATTTTATATAAATATATCCATTTAATACAACAGAGGTAATGTGAGCTTACCATACACCTGAGGGGGGGATTTTTAAGTCACCTGCAGGTGTGAATTAAATTCACAAAGCTGATCTTTTATCCTGCTGTACAATGTACAGTCACATGTTTGTACATTTCTATAGCTGCTTCATTTGGTACAACAGGAGGAAATTTGATTTGTCACTTGGACAGTGTTCAATAAACAGTCAAAGATTTTCAGATATATCTATAATGTTGTTGTCTAACTCTGTAAAAACATCTGAAGTTGATGGGACATTTAGAAAAGTCTGTTGACAAAGTTAAATGATCAGTTTCACATTGCGTGGGTGTGGCATTTGCTGTAGTGAATGATGAAATTATATCTGGCCATGTATACCAAACGAATGAACAATATTTCTACTAAAATTTAAGGAAAGATTTTAAGCTTCTTAAATTTGAGCTTTAAACTGAAAATCTTCTTCAATTGCTTGTTCCACACTCTGCCCAGAGTTAAGGGGTTTTCTTTGTAAAGTAAATCCATATACGTTTCTGTGCACAGAAACATGCAGAATGCTTTGTTGGCCGACTTTAGTCCCTCCATACAGTTGATAATACGTAAAATAATGGAAAACTCTGCTATCAAATTGAAATGAGGGTATTTTATATCCTGGGCTCACACGTGTTAATATTTCATTATCTCTGTAAGAAGAGGGAAATGAGAAGTCGCTCACGTGGGGAACGAGCAGACGAATCAGGATGAAACGATAATCAACAAGAGGAAGTTGACTGACAAATACACTTACCTCTAATGAGCGGCATTAACCCCCAGCAAACACTCAATGAGATCATCCAGGTCTTCTCTCCCTCTCTGCTCTAGACAACACTCCTGGGAGTCTCCCTCATTTCCTCCATCCCTGCCTCTTGCCATGCCCTCCTCCCCTTTCCTCTCCTTCTCCTCCTATCCGTTCCTGTCATCATCCCCTCTGCTGTTTTGAGACGGCTGATTTCCCTCCCCCAGAGGGACGGTGGGGTGCTGGAGCAGCAACAGGTGTCTCATTACGGCGCCAACAGAAGGCCACAGGGGGACAAACAGGCTCGCGCTCAAAGCTTTTTTCACTGACAGGCAAGGCGGTGACGATCACTCCTCCACATTCCTCACACTTTCACACCCATCTCAGTCATTTCACGGCTGAGCTTGTGGGCGATTTTACGTGTCAATCGCCCGGAGCAGAGATCTATCTGGAGACGAAAGCTCACACCACCGGCGCCAATTATCAAGCTCCCCATTCAGTGCCGCTGCAAAATGTACGTGAAAGCCGAAGCTGTGTTTTCTGTGAAAACAACAACAAATAAACATCTTAAAATCTCTCTAGATTTCACAGAAAAGAAGTCCAGGCATCAGAAAAAGATGACAGCCCAGAATAATCACTTGCAAAGAGCAGCCGCCGCCTGTGGCCTGGATCCTGGTGTAATGATCCAGCGGGCTCATTATCCGCTCACTCTGCAGCATCTCGCACTCATCAGATGGAGCCTTAACTTGTTGAACATTACAAACAACTTCACAAACACTTCAATAAATTCCAATGAGGCGTGTAACCGGTAGTTTGTGCCAGGCTATACGTGCTTGTTAGATTTGGGTTTCTTCTCTGTGTGTGGAAAGAGGATGCAGCTTCTGCCCGTGAGTGTGTGTGACAGCCCCTTACTGTACGTTTATGTGCACAATTACTTGCTGGGGTTCTGCAATATCCGGTAACAAACAGTGTTTATGTTGCAGGTGTGTGCTGAAACTGAAACCATTATTAAAGAAGAGTGCACCGTTGGGCCGTATGAATAAATCAACATGGGAGGGGGCAAATCATGGAAGCCATTCATATGTGACGGCAGCTCCTGAACACTTCCAACACATAACCTCTGCACCTCACACGTCATTAACTGCAAGTACATACTTTCAAAATGCAGCTCAAGGGTCATTACTCGGAGAGAGGAGGACACGAGAGGCCATTATCCAAACGAGTCTGAGCTTTGAATATTTAAAAAGGATCTTGAAAATGTCCTTTTTCTCTCCACATGCTGTAGAGAAAAAAAAGAAAACCTCTGTCAGTCTGAAGGTTTTGCTTTTCAGGACTTAAAAAGTTGAGATTGAGCATTTGAGTTAAGGAGTTGTCTCAGGTGTCTGATTATAAGACCTTGGATATATTGGATATATATCACCATGGGATTAACTATACTGGGAATTTGGCTGTATTTACACATGCTATTTTTACATGACTGGTTTCAGGAGAAAATTATTGAACTTTGGCCCATTTGAGAAAAGGTGTACACATGCATGCCTTGTTTTGTCTTTTTCCACATTACATTATAACAAACATACCAGTGTGTAAAAAAAGCCAGAGTAACAATCATAAAAATTTTAATCTACATATAAATAGTAGAAACCACCTTTTGGCTGACTGGGCCTGACTTTCTGTTGCTTAAGAGCGTGAAAGACTCCACTGAGCCAAGACCTAAAGGATGCTGAGCTTTTCCTCCATCAACACCATAACATAATCATTCATTATGGATCATATCTCAGCACTGAACCACTTCCAGTGAAAAAGCTATCACATACTTCATGGATTTAAGAGATAGTTTGCACTTAATGGGATTTTCTGTTTATTATCAAAATAACTTTTAGAAATACCAAGCAGGCTTTTTTCACAGAAGAAACTTCTGTCTTGTTTCCAAGCGTGCAGCACTTTCCTGAAGGGGATAACAAAAACGAAAACGGGTCTGTATGTGTCATAAAATGTGACACATCCTGGCGCGTCCTGGGCCGTTTGATCTGAAAGGCAGCGAGTCCTCTGGCAGCTTGGGGATTTCGTCCAAGATCTCAAGATTTGGCAAACAGGAGAAAACACTGAGTGCACAGAGAAACGAGAGAGAGGGAGATGACATGAAGGGCCTTCCTCCCCTGCACATCTACACATCAGGCTGAATGGTATCGATGTTCTCACCGAGCCCGGTAGTCCTGAGTGAAGGTCACAGGGTTGTGGGTCAGGTTGAGGAAACGCAGCGGGCTGTTCCTTAGCGCTCCCAGTCCCCTGAGGGAGCTGATGGCATTCTCTGACAGACAGAGGTGCTCCACTGCTGGGAGCTTTGGCAGCTGACACAGACTCACCAGGTGGTTACGGTGCAGGTTGAGCCTTCTACACCTGCCCAAAGGAGAAAACATCCATTTTGGGATTATTGCAAATAATCGGAACTGGTGGAAAATGTCTTTAAATGCTGCAGAATGCGACACAAATAATCACCAACAGATACACAAAAAGCTGTAACATCTGGCTGCGGCAGAACATGTGAGGGTTCACCGTAGCTGCTCCACTTATCTTTAATTACCCCTTCATGCACTCTTCTAAAAACAGCTGCCAAGAGTGTCATTTGGGAAATAACTGTATTCCAGGAGTGCAGACACAGATGCAGCCGACAATCAGTTTGAGCTGTGGAGCCGTTTTTTGTGAATGTGTTCATTTAACACCAGAGTACCTTAATTCAGAGTGGCGTGCTTACCTTGGCAGACGTACAGAACTCAGGTCGGAGAGAGAGTTGTCGACCAGCTGTAGGTTCTCCACACGGATCAACCGCCGGACGATCCGGAAGAAATTCTCCTGTTGGTAGGAATTACCCAAATCTTGGTAGGACAAATTTAATTCCTGAGAAGAAACATAGGTTGTTACTAGAGATAAACTGCACTTCTTACAACTCCACACAAAACCTGTGGACTTACAAAGCAGTTTTCCCAGTTCTCCTGCTGTCTCTCCTCCCATCTTTGTCCCTCCTCCTCTCTTCTCCTCCTCCTGCTCCCTCTCTCCAAACAGATGTCCCCTCCCTTGATTAGACAAAGCTCGTCTTCTGATGGACCTTTATTGGATTTTTTTAAAGAATGAAAAGAGAAAAGGTCTATTTGTCCATTAAAACAAATACAACCCTCCCCGTCCTCATGTTCATCACACACCTTCTCTGACCCGTGGGCAGCTCAGCTGGTCACCGGTGACATCGCATTGGTCCAGGCGATACCACGACACAAAGCGGCAGCGGCTGGATGGAAGCTAGTGGGAAGAAGAAGGGACGGCCACAAAAAACAGAACCATCAGAGGCTCTGTGATGAGGCATGCCGCAAACACTCTCACACACTCATGTTTTGAGGCTTGATCATAATTCAGTGAAATTTGAAAGCAGGAAACACAAGTAATGATTCATATCCTTCCTCCCAGTTGAATGAAAATTCACTCATTAAAACTCATTCAGCTGAAAGTCAGCACAGCCGAATATGCATCATCCATCTGGACTGAAAGAGAGAGATGTGTGTAAAAAGCAGAGGGGAACAGAAGACACACTTATGTTTATCTGCAGCTACCCATCAATTTAACTCTAATTTAACGCTAAAATCAGAAGGGGCATTAAGTAGTCCGTTTAACTCCACCAGCTGAATACTTTTGCTTAGAGCACTTCTAACCTCCAAATCCAGAGTATTTCAAAGACAATTATACTCATCAACTATTGAACTATTCCAAAATGATGTCATTTATCTTCAATCTTTTTTTCATTTGTACATGCCCAACAGGATGCAGAGTTTTTATCTTATTTTGACCTTTTCAACCCACGGTGACATTCATCCTGTTGACTTTACCCCTTCTGTTAATCTAGACAGAGGATAAACTGTCACTTCAGCTGATAACAGCCTAGACATTTGGAAAACCGTCACTAGGTCACCTGATCATTTGATGAGGCAGACAGAAATCAGCCAGAATCAAAAGTGCTACAGTTGACTCACAGTTCAGTTTTCTGTTTTTCCATTAAGTGGCAGACCAGAAAATGACAGAAATAATAAAATGGTCCATGGACTTATACATTCCCATTAAAATAGAAATGTCTAAGTAAAAAGCTTCCTTCACTGAAGAAGGACTTAACAAACTTTTAAAAACTTTCTTAGTTTGGTTAGGGGGGACTCCAACTTGCTCAGGCAGGAGGATTCAGAGGTAGAGGCAAAGTGAGCAGAGTAAAGGCTGCAACTGTGAAGTAGAGTTCAAGGGGAGGTGACGCCAGATATGGAAAGATAAGGAGATGAAAGGAGGATACGGGTGAGTTTCAAAGATAGAGATAGCAAAAGCACACACTTTAAGCATATCTAATGGAGTGTGCTCAATTAAATATGCTTCAAGTGTGTGTTTTTGCCATCTCTATGGCATAAGAATGTTGTGTTTTGTGTTACTGTGCATCTGTGACTTACAGGTGTAGACACCAGTCCAGAGTCGGGACTGTGGTCCACTGAGAGAGGTGTGCGTGTAACTCTGAGGTCTGAGAACTGGGATGAGTGGGATTTAGGGAAACTGCCGCTGAGAGTGTTCACACCTGAAGAACTAATGGGAGAGAGAAGTCACGCTAGTCACATCGCTGGTCTCTGCAGACAGGGAGACCGTTGGCTGTATTTTGGTAACGTAAGCCCTGTGTGTGCTGGAACCCTGACCACCGGCCGAGTGGTTTGAGTTACAGACAATGTAGGGCCTGACAATGCAGATTAGGACCCGTTGCCATAGCAGTCATGGACACCTGAGCAGGTGCTATTAGCTTATAATAGCTACTGCATGCCGGGGACGGCTGGCCCTTAGGCCTGGATAATTCATACTACATGTTATTTTGTGGACCGCCAAGAACGAACCAGATAACAGAACTGATAATGAAAAAGTTATAATAAAAAAAATTAAAAGCCAAATTTCCAGGTGGTCAATATTGATACAATGGGCTTGGTAAACAGACAGACATGACAGACTAATCACCGGGTGCGCATTTCAGCTGCTTTATCTTACCTTTCTGACATGACCTGCTCGCCTTGTGGTCAATTCTCCTGGCCTTTGTTAACGCATTACGAACGGCTCGTGTTAGCCTTGTAGTCCGGTAGCTGTTACCCATGGAGCCCGCTGGCTTTGCTCGTATCCACTGAGAGAAAGTTGCCCGTCCCGCTGCTCACTGGCTCCGGCGTGGGCGCGTGGCTCCGGTGTGGGGGGCTGAAGGACACAGACTGACTGCCAACCTGTCGGTTGCTTGGCAACTCTGTTCCGGTTTACTGTTGCGGGTCACGGCCACGCTGCCAGCTCCGAAAATCTATATTCAACTTTCAAAGGAGCTGTGACAACTCCACAAGCCCTAACAAAGCAGACTTTCAGCACAATGAGCTTCGTGATCATGTTTTGGCCTTGCAGTTTTTTTTCTTTTGGAGAACTATGACGCTCAGACTAAGCCTTTTCTTTCAGTTTCCTATTATCTAACCTACTAATCATTTCCATCGTTTTTTCTCCTTCTTTGTAATACTCTGTAGGAAATTGAATTTATATGAATGCACTTTAATTTAATCCTTGCTTACCCTGACAGCAGTGGAAGTACTTAGCCCAAATCTGACTTACATTTGCAGATTTCAATAGACTGCATTTATCTTTCGATGACTGCAACGATTCAAGGAAAATGTGGCTAATATGCAGTTATATTTAAACTAATCTCCTAAATATATAATGCCTGTTTTTAGTCAAACCCACATGCATGTGTATCCATTTTACCCAGAAAGTGTGATTCATAATTCAGGCCGCAGGTATCTTTTATTTATGCTTATAGTGCTGTGCATCCATGCCCAAAGAAGGATTAGGATTTGTTCCAGTTGAGCATGCATTTTGTGTGAGCTATTGTGTGGGATGCAGCCATGACATTTACTCCAAAAATCCTTGGCAGGACACTGTCTGCTCTGGGACAACAAGTTTCGCATTTACAGAGAAGTTCTGCCAGGCTCCTGTTTTTTATTATTCCGGCGACAAAGGCTTCATAACAAAAACCATACAGGTATTTCATTCACAGTGTATTGTGTTTCAAGAACCCAGCGTAAACTTACATGTTAGGAAGTTGTAGTAGCCCTTGAATAGCTTTTAAATTAGTCATATTCATATTGTTTATTACCAAAGAAAGCTGCTCTTTTCAGAAACACTCATTACACGCACTGGAGGATAATGTATATATTTTTAATGGGAACACATTCATTTTTCATTGAATCAAAGAATCAATACAGCTGGTGTTACTGTTTCTCTGTATATACATCCTCAACAGTGGAGCAGATTTTTATTCCAGAGCTCCTGTTAGCGCCGGTCCATCTCTATGGCAACCTGCCCTAGTTCTGCAGTCCCTCTGCTCACCTGCAAGATGCCCAACTGGGCCTTAATTAACCACTCAGATATGATAAGGCATAATAATTCATCAGCAGTTAAGCCATGTGCCTACAGCGTAAAATGTCTCAATACTCTCAAGAACACATATTACTAAGCTTTATTGTGTCAGAGCGAAGTGTTTGCACATGTTTTTCCTGCAATAAATACTCTGCATATATATGTATATATAGAACACAATGCCAGATGTACAGGGATGTATTTGAGTGTGTAACTTACAATGTGCACATACTATAATTGGATGAGAAAGACTGATTATTTTTCAACCTGAAAATTTTTTCTGTGTCCAATGTGTAGGTGCAAGTAAGTAAGAAGCTGCTGAACTTAAAGGGGTTGTGCGTGGATTCCATACTGTGTGTTCCTCTTGTTCATACAAAGTGTACTTCCCTAGAGAATATTTACAACTTCCTCGATCTGCATGTATGTGTCCAAGAATTTAAAGCTTCCAGTATAAAAACACAGTCACATCATATGTTTTATGATACGTTTCAGTATATAATATATCATATAATTATAGGTTAACTTTTTTTCCATAAAGAGTATAAAACACAGCTGAGGATGGTGATAGAGAATAGGTAGCATTTAAAACATCAAGGAGCTGATTGGGTGAGACTGAGTGATCTCACTATCTGTTTATATGTCAAAGTCCTGGTCACTCGGATCAATGACTTCTGGGGTCATAACTCTGCCCATGAAGAGGATGGAGCCTGGAGGGAGAGGACAGGTAGACACAAAAGACACACATTTATCAACGTTAGGCAGTAGCAATTAATTTACATAGATTTGCAAAACTATCTAAAAGACCACTTCTCTTTGAACAAATCACAAACATTTGCTTGGAAACTAGTGACATGTCTTCGACAACAGTTGCAAAAAAAGTGCTAAAAGAATAAAAACTGGGTTTTATGATAGGGATGTTGAAATAAAACAGTTTAACCGATTTTTCGGATCAGAATCTTTAAAGGCAGGTCGAAAACAGAGCTCCAGAACACGGTGGAGTCAAAGAAAAAGTGAAAGCTGGCTCTATGCCTGGTTCCATTTAAAATTAATCACTGGCAGGACAAACAAGTCAAGAGACTGCACAACTTGGTAACTTTCTCCATGGCTGCCAGGGTATCCAATTATTTAATATTTTGAGTGTATCTGTGGCTCAAATTAACTTTGCACTCTGGCCCATAGAGCAATTCTTATAAGCAATTCTTATATATAACTAGACATCTTGTCAACAAATCTTGCCATCAGCATCCAAGACCATATAACACTGCTTGTAATTTTTAGTTTTGGAATTTATTATGCTGTGTGGGATTATTCTAAATAATAATGTATGGCTTAGTGGCAAAAATAAATAAAATAGAACAAATATTAATTTCTGCTTTACTCTGACTTCAACATTAACACATGCACACACACACTTACCTGTCCTTCTGTTTCTGATGACAAAGAAGAATGGGTGATCAGCCATGACCTGCGGGTACAGCACCAGAGTCCTGGTCAGGGCAATCATTCCTACCAGGAAAAAAGGAAGATTAGTTGAAAAATCATCAATTATGTGCAGATTTGCAGCATATTGTGAACCTTTCAAACCACACACTCAACACTCAAAGCACACAAAAAAGATGGGATTAAGAAAAAGAAATACATTTTTTAAAAAGTGTACCTGACCCAACGGCTCCTTCTGCCCCCTCCTCAGTCACCTCCAGGTAAGCCTTCTGCACTGCTTTTCCAATGTACAGGTCCTTACCATCTGGAAAGAAAAACAGGCTTACACTCAACTCACCACCTCATCTTTATAATGTACATAAAAATACAAGAGTGAAGGAGAAATGATTGAATGGGCTAAAATAGACATAGAGGTAAACAAGAACAGCATGATTGTCTGCTAATACGTTTTTTTTTTAAATCTGACAAATGAACTACAGCAGCAGACTCAAAAGATGTGATATGATGTGATTTTCAATAGCAAATCCAATTATTCGAGTGACTGAAAGCACTTTAAGTGTTTTGTAAGGTAAATGTACCTCTATTTGTCAAAAACAACCTGAAACGGTTATTATGCTAATAATATTTTTCAAGGGTTGTTTTTAACGGTTAATCCATATCTATTTTACTTATTAGATTATATATACATCGTTTATATACATCATTTATATAAATCGTCTCAATGTATATATATCTTGACTGCAGGCCATATATATATATATCTTGACTCTGTGTATATAGGAGGCTCTACATCTATTTTTAATGGATGATATGACCGCTCTGTAATGCCCACACAGAGCCAGTTACCTTGGTTACCTTACAAAGCACTGAAGGCTACTTCTTGCTGCCAAGATAGAGATTAAATGTTATTTTAAACCTTTTAGCTGAGTTTTTCCAAACTTTCTGCTTTTGTAAGTCTATTTTTGGGTTTATTATAACTGCTTACTAATACGTGCAGTAAAGCAAATGGCAAAATGTGTTATGTATCACTTGTCATGGCTGAGAGATCAGCATCATTGGTGAAGATCTTCTTAATTCCCAGTTCCTGCAAATGGCTCCTCAGATCAATCTTCTGCTCCACCTTAAACCTGAACATGGACATCGGATTTAATTTGGCTGATCAAAACAACAAAGAGCAACAGGATAAATGGATTTAAATTAAACTCCTTGCAGTGTTCCACAGAGGCATGAGCTCCAGTATGTTGTAAGCACAGTGTGGTTGTAATCGTTTCTGTCCAATACAATGATTGAAAACTGATGGTTACAATTGTATATAGCATATTTAATCATTTATAGAGGCTGATATCCTATAATTAACATTGATTACAACATCACATTAACTTCTAAATGGGAATCTTGAGAATTTCTTTGTCAAATCATAATAAGTAGGACTTTTCTTTCTTCTTAAAATGTAGCTTTGCATCATATCTTTAGGAGGACAAAGCAAGCAAGCAAACTGGAGCTTCAGAGCGTTTTAATTCTTCTGGTTTCTGTTTGATGTTGCCCTATTAAAGCAAGTAAATATGTGTGGTATTCACTGATTGCTGAACATTATGCTTAAGAATATTGTGTTTTCACACTGCTGTGTGTGTCATATCACACCTGGGGAGGTATACTTCCACCTTTTGTCGTTTAACATTGTTAGCCCACTCCTCCAGCAGAGGCGCTTTGATGATGGGCTCGAGGGAAGCCAGGGGTACCTCCTGCCGAGGCAGGACGATCATCATGGACATGTCATCTCCCTCATAGGGCATCTCCAATACCTGATACACTCCGCCAGCCTCCTGTGATCCGTCGCTGAACTCACCTGATTGAGAGAGGGCATACAGGATTAGACTAAAAGAGCACTTTTAGTCTAATCCACAGCACACATGCACTTGATTGTCAGCTTTGCTGAGGGGGGGAACATCCACAAAGAGCAGCGTCTTGTGGCTCATTGATTAGCTCTATTGATTACAGTGTGTGGCCATTTATCCAATGGTTTAATTACATACTACCCCTGCTTCTTTAGGTGCAATTTGTTTGACATTGACTGCATGAATAATACATTTTATGCAGTCATGCAGCACTGGCAGTGATCTGTTAAAATGCCCATTAAAATTCAGCCAGACAGGAAAGGACAATGTGTATTAGTATGTCAGTATTGGCAAAAAAAGCTCTACTTTGAGATGACACGCAAGATCATTTCACTTAGATTCAGAGGCATGGGACAGAGATTATAAAGAGCACTGCCAGTTTTCTTGTGAAGTATGAAGGACAAAAGTGACAGCAAAAACACTGATCAGCCTTCATTAAATTGTGCTCTGGGTAACGTTTATAGATGCAGAGTGGAGTGAGGATGGGCTACGGCAGCAAAGAACGGGATGCTACGTCCCAAAAACATCAAGCTTAACCAATATGATGGGCTTGAAAATGAGAAAGTAAATACAGCCTTCTCCTCACAAATCCTTACATGTAGACGCCACGCCCGCCAAATACGCATGGCCCCCAAAAGACTAAAACAGACCTTAGCAGGAGCACAGGATTAAGGTGACCCTTATTGAACTTGCCAAGATCAGACAAAGAAATGTACTTCTAAATATTCAATATAATGAAGAAGAGAAATAGATGCATGCAAGTGAACAGGCTCATTTGCTAATCAAATGAAAAGGAGTCCAGTCGGGAGAAAATTAAATGATTTAAAAATTAGTTTGGCTTTTTTTTTTCAAAAATATTGATTAAACTATTGATGAAATGGAAAAGTTAATGGAAAAAAGTGTCAGGTTAAAAGAAGAAGAGACAAAAAGTAAGAAAGATGTTCAATTATAAATCACTTTTTAGAAGAATTTGACTGTGGTGACAGAGCTCACTGAGCACAATAGAGAAGCCTTCCTAAGGACTTACACCCCCAAATATGAATACTTAAGATAGACAATTAACACTTCAAATAACCCCAGGAAAACCAAGCGCACCAGATAAAAAGTCTCTAGTGCGATCCTTTAAATGCACGCTTACACACAGACACACACTCACCATAGTAAAAGTCTCCCTGCTGATACATCATAAGGGTCTGAACTTCAGAGCCATCATCTCTGGTGAAGGAGAAGGTCCTGGTATTCTCAGGCCTGAACTGGTTTTTCCAGGAGCCTCGGAAATAGATGGCGTTTACTAGGGTCAGGCGGGTCACGCTGCTGAAGTCCTCAGCAGACAGCAGCGCACGGATCTTACCTGCATGGAGAGATTAGTGAGAGGCAGCCTCGGCGCCTGGTCTGACTGGAACAAAACTAGCACAGAGGAATCTCAGTGCTTGACGAAAACGCTTCATTTGGTTTCAGAACAGACAAGCAGCAGCGATGGTGCATGGTCTCCTTCCTCTGACTCACTCTCTGTGTGGTTCTCCACCCAGCTGTTGATCTGCTCAGCAACTGTGGATGATTTGCTGAAGTCCACGGTTTCCACTTCAGCTCGGAAGTACTTCTTGATCATGTGCAGAAACTCTGGGTTGAAGGCGACGCCGTCCTGCAGGAAGAGGCTGTTAGCGAATCGGATCATGCAGTGGGTGTCGTCGTCGGAAAGTGCCACTGTCAGGTTCTGGAGCAAAGAGAACTCGACGCCTGCAGAGCAGAGGGAGATGCACACAATCATACTGTCAGTGTACACAAAACAGAAGAAAAAAAAAGGTGCAGAGAGATTTTATGAAGGTAAAACTCCACATATGAATTTTCTTTTTATCAGACATGAAAAGATCAAACATTTGTGCTGACAGTAAAATTTATGAATTATATTAAATTGATCATTACAATAATATTTTACAACATTTACTGAAAAATATCATGGCCGACATCTGCATATCTGTGTGTATCTAATGATGCTTGTACCTTTAAGTTTTTAACTTTAGGTAAAAAACCTAAATATGTCTCTTCTCTTTGTTACAACAAAATAAATAACAAGACAAATAAAATGGGGCCATTATTTACATAGTAAGATTTTCCATCTATATAATTTTCCATCCAGCCCCCCCATGACCCCGTTTGGAATAAGCAGTATAGAAAATGGATGGATGAATTAATCGTTTGTCATAAGACCACTCCAGTCCATCATTTTTTGGATGGGCTGTGTGCTTAAACATGATCTCAAGCCTCTCAAAAACTAAGCTCAAACCCTTCCACAGCTGTTGTGAATGAGTAGTTCTCGTTAGAGGGGATAGTAAACTGACCCATATGTTTGACTTTGAACTAATCCGAATTAATTTGGTCAAATGTTCCAAAGATTTTTCAATTTCATCGCATGGATTCTTCCTTTATCCCCCCACCATGAGCCGTTATGCTTTTGAACCTGTGTTTCTGAGTGTTTCTCACACCTGGCAGCAGGTGGCTGAATCCCACAGCCTGTCGTATCTCCTCCAGTGAAGCCCCCCGTGCTCCCAGCTCGACCATGCCCAGGGCAACAGACACGCTCAGTGGGGAAAAAATGATGTTTTCCTGCCCCCCCGCTGCCTGCAGCTGGTGGTACAGTCTGACAGAGAACTCTGATGTAGTGTCCTCTGGAATGTCCGCCGCCCGGCAACCGTAGCCCGGCAACAGAATGGAGAGGAGGAGGAGGAGTGGTGACAAAATGTCCAGGATCAACATGGCAGCATAGACCACTGAGAGCTGAGTGTAAGAGGATTTAATGTCATGAAGGAGAAAAATAGGGTCACATGGAATGAGGACAGTTGATTGAGAGGAGTGCAAGGCATACAAGAAGAAGGAGAGGTAAAAGAGAAGGGGTAGGAAGATATACATTTGGGGGACAGATGGGAAGATGGAAGGATTAGGAAAAGGGTTGGTTTGGAGGGACGGGCAGCCAAAGAGATGTGGAAGGAGGAGGAAACAAGCAGTTGAAGGGCAGATGTGATGACAGCACATAATTTGTGCAGGAGGAAAGAAAGAAGAGAAGGTAGAGGCAACGGGACAGCAGAGGGGAGGGAAGGGGAGAGAAAGAGATAAAGGCAAAGAAGATCATTGCATAAGGTAGAGACAGAAGAGGGATGAGAGGATTTCAGAGGACAGACAGCATGACAGAGAGAGCGGCAGCGTGGGATGATAAAAGGGAAGAAACAGAAGACATCTGTCAATCACTGTTCTAATTTAACCTGTGATGGAAAAACAGCATAGTTGAATGAACGTAACACAAAAGCTAACACAGCTGTATGTGGGGTGTAAGTGTAAGCTTTCTGTGTAAATTACTTAATTACAAAAAACACCTCCAAACATCTTCCTAGTCTTTTCAAAGTCATTACATCTGTCCCAATACTTTTATCGTCTTTTAGTGACATTTGTACCCATCTAAACCTTATTCCTTCTCCACCCTCCTTTTGTCGCCATTCTTTCCTATATTCTCTGTGTCTTTACCTCCCCGTCACTTACAAAAAACACACACACACTAAATCCTGTCTCTGGCGCTGTTGTTACCAAGCAACATTGTTTTCTGACGGAAAAACTGAAAAAAGAACAATAATGATAAATAGCAAAAACATGGAGAAAGATAGTGCGTGCAAGATATAGTGATAAAAAGAAAAAACATAATTTATTCTATTGTTTGTTTCTCTGTTCTGTTATTAGAGCTGTAAAAAAAAAAGAAATGGATCCAATTAGCAGTCCCACACAGGGTTGGAATCCACCGGTTAGTCTAGTCGTGTGAGATGGCTGGTGGCCATACTGTCAACAACATAAACAATGAGTAACGGCCAGAAAATTAGCACCCCGTCCTGTCCTTTCCCCGGCTCTGCTCTGGCATGTAACAAACAAGTTCCCCTCCCGAACTGTTCAACCCAGTCTAACTCACAGAGGTGCAGCGAACACATCATTTTCTAAACAGCAACATTTTTCCTATTGTCAGCTAAACCAATGACAAGACCGTTCATTAAGAAGCATTGTGTGTTTATCCAAAGACTGATCCAGATTATTCCTGAACGCCACAGACCGCCACAGCTCTATGGAACCAATTAAAAACACATCAGGGTTTCGCACTGTTGCACTGCGTGATTGCTCTATTTGGACCACATCCACAATACACTGTGCCTCTGGTGGGCAAACTCTCATGCACAGCCTGTGACTGAGAATAGTGTCAAACAGCTGTTTTCCAGTTCGACTTGTTGTTTACAAAGTCTTTTCAAAGACTTACAGGTATTTGTCCTCCTAGTATGAGAGACCTGGCCAATTGATTTTGATGAGCAGATAAAACCAACAGTAGAATTTGCATCTGCAGGAATAAGCTTGAGGAAACCTCTCTCTCAATAGACACCACTCATTCTTTAACCAATTACTTTGTTATGAAATTTCCACCAGTGTAATACAATTACAATACTCACACTCTGAAAATACGACCTCTATCCAGTGATCACACTTTTGCGCAACTGGTATTGCTCAAAGTCTGATATTCTGTCTGAACTTCTGTTTCTCACAGCTCTCTAAATTATTAAAAACCCATCAAGGAACCACCTCATTATCAAAGATGAGCATGTGTCGCTCAAACCAACAGGACTTCTGTTGTTCATGCATCCCTGTGCTGCAGGAATAAAATAAAAAAAACTGAACACACTATTTAGTAGAAATGAATCGGGCTGAGTGAGACACATGGATTAATTTATAAACTAATTTGTTTTTAGATGGTGTGGTTAACAGTAAAATGACTATGATCCAACCCTTCACTTAATTTATTTATCATGTAAGGATTTGAGTGGGTTTTGAGTAGGACAATTAATAAACATGTTTACTCTTTCATTTAAATCCATTAGAAATAAATTAGCCAAGCTGGCAGGCAGAAAGCTCCAGTGAGCAACTTTACATAGATTCAAAACAAAGCAATCAAAAATCTTAGACCCAAATCTTAAGGACTGCTTTTAGTCTTGCAAGCTCAGCTGCCTGCAATTAGTCAGTCTAACTTTGCATGGGGAGGGAGAAATGCCCAGAGGGAGAGAGGACAGGGGCGGCTGGCATAAATGTAAATGCAGGTAATGTTTCTGACCTTCTGAGCTGTGGGAGCTGAACTTTTCGGAGACAATCGCTCCTGTTTTCTGTAAGGAAAGATCCAGCCACGCAGCGGAGCAATGGGGAGCCTAAGTGTGTGTCTGCTTGTGTGAGTGGATAGCGGCACCATGGGTGCCTGACTTTTACTTGTAATGGTGACACCATTGTGACCTTTTGGAGCTGTGGCGTGCTGACTGCAGAAGGGTCCCACTTTGTAAGCTTGGCCATTGATGACTGTTAGCACAACTTGCCCCCGGCATACCTTTCAGGTAAATGGGGAAAAACTAACAACTCTCGAGACTACAAAGACGCAACGTGTCAGATAATCACTTGTGGTTTCATTTACAAGAGATTTAATCCTGACAACTTTATTAATTCCATTCAATTAAACTCGCTGGCCTTTAAAAGCGGCCTTTAATCTCTCTGTGTAATCCTAAATTCTCAGACAGAATAGATCGGTAGTTGACATTTCGACAATCAAAACATGACGTCACCCAGAGCCGCAGCACACACATAATCCCTACTGCCATTTAAACTCGACACCTGGAGACAGCATGCCTTGAAAACCGGGGAATTTACTAAACATGAACATCCTCATTCATGCTTCAAGTCCACAGGTCCACACAAACACAGACTCACACTTTAAAGTTTCTAAGCTGATGTTACCAAGGAAACATCAAATGATGGGCCTTTTTTAAAAATATTTTGCCAAGTTGTCATTTTTCTCTTTGCAGGATAGCGGCATCCGTTCTGGTTTTGTCTCTTATAATTCTCTCTGAAAATAAATAAATACATAAAAGGCAGAACATGCAGGCATATCCCCCTGACTTACGGGCTGGCACTAGGAATTTTGCAAAAACAAGACAATATTTTCACCTGCTACTTCTCCTGTCTCTGAAACTGAGGAGTTGCAGAGATCCCAAAACAGCATCTCCCTCTTCAAACCACAATCAAAGCACACTCACTTAGGCTTTCCCTTCCAAAGTGCTGAGGCTTTGACAAACTTTGAGAAAAAAAAAAGAAAAAAAAAAAACTATCTCATCACATGCTTTTACCTCTGAAAAATTGCAGAGAATGATGTCTATGATCATGTGTGGCCTAGAAAAACGTTGGATTTCTGCAGCGGGTGCTTTTTATAAAATAGCAGAGTGATCTTGGCACTGAATGCACAGTGAATATATTTAACTTCTAAAGGGCTCTGCAGCAAGGAGATAATGGATTCTGATTATCATTCATGAGTTATCTTTAGAGGTGCCATAGTGGAGCCGCTTTTAATTTGAACTTGAACTGAATCAAATCCAGGATGGCACATGCAAAGGCAGACTAAAAATGATTAAACTTACATAAAACTACATCATCAATCTTAAATCACTCTGCTCTCTGTGAGAATTGTTACACCTTTCAGTCTTTTTACTAACAGCTGGAAGAATCTCTGGGTGGTGCACAGCCTGCTTTAATTAGCTGTATTCTGACATTTTGTCTGCCTGTAAATCAGGCAGTTACAGTGAAATTTGATCAGACCTGTTTTTCTCGTCTTCTGCCTAACAAGGAGTGTGGAGAACACTAAAGTAGAGCATACGCTCCTGACAAGGTTGCTGAAATAGAGTCCAAATGGGTTTAAATCCTCTAACTCCACTGCAGTCAAATAAGGAAGCGCTCAGCTCCTGTGGTGGGTAGGGACTTCCATTACTCAGCACAATAAAGTGGATCCAATTCATCAATCAGGCTGCTTGCTTTACTGACACCCCCACCTTACACCGACTGTGGCACTAAACGCAGCTATTAACAGAAAAAGAGCAGATAAATTCTAGTGAAATAATGTGTGAGGTGTCAGTTTAACTCCATTACAATTTTGTCAGCAAATTTTAAGGTCCTCTTACAGGTTTAAGATGCCAATAATATTTGTTTCCAATTAAAAACAAAGCTGCTACATTTGGAACTGGCCAAAAGACACATCGCAGACTCTATAGGCCTCAGTCAGAATGTCAAATTTGGAAGTTCTTAAAGGCAAAAGTGGGAAAGGTCTGTACAGATAGTAGAAAGCCCCTTCTCTCTGAAAGATAATGTGGCAACGCAGCTTATGTTACACTGAACAAATCGGTTCCTTTCTCAGTGCATAGCATGAAATCACACACAAATAAAGGGAAAATGCATTTTCAAAGCCATTCAGGTGGCAGCGTCTTATGTTTTCATTATAGGAAAAGAATGTCTCTACTTATATGTAATGATATATTTTAATGTGAAAATACCATTCAAAGACAAAGCTTTCAGCTTTCCCAGACTGAACAGCTGGTTGTAAACAAATCCAGTACAAAACTACAACTCAATAAATTCGTCCTATTATAATAATAGCTGAAAAAAATAACTTGTACTTATTTACCGTGTTTGAGCTATTGTTAGGCTATTTTTGATATGACAGAAAGCATGTGCTTTGCTTCAGCAGTTCTTGGGTTTTCTCTGTTTCAGTGATTAAAATCTACCCCTATTGTTTACACTTTTTCCAGTGGCAGCCAAGCATGGCAGCCTTTCTGCAGCCAATCCCCAGATGAGCATCTTAGCTTATTCAGCTCATTGTTGAAGATGACAATATGGCATGGAACCTGAGAATGAGGTCTCAGGATGCTCACTGTGCACTCTATAGTGGTTAACAACCCTAAGTTGTAGCAACACCCAGAGGGGGAAACACAAAAAGGTGGCGATTTTGCAAAGGAAAGGATATAAACAACAACAGGTAGGTCAATATATGGAAGCAGGAGTTGTGCTGAGGAGCTGAACAGAAGCGAGACAGTTTTGTCTCAGAGCCAATGATATTTAAAGACTCCCTTGCATTGCATGGCAAGATGGTTGATTGCCTCCCACACACTGCCAAAGCAAACTAAACAGTGTCTCTTTTCTTGATATATATTGAGAAAAACACACACACTGACTCTAACTGCCAGGGTGCTGTGAGAGTGCTGTTAGGAGCTTTGAAATGTAATTGGATCGGTTCATATTTGGGGTCAGTGGGAAAAGTGAACCGACTAAAGGCCTTTTTAAATGGACTTCAAACCAAGGCGACTCTGGAGTGCAAGCCAGGTCACTATCAACTAGCCCTGGGGGGATGTGTGCGGTTGTGTTTGTCTGTATTGTTTTGGGGTTACAGAGGTAGGAAAGTGAGACCTGGAAGGTGATACTGAATAAGTACCCAAGTAAGCAAAGATGCAGAGAAGAGAAAGACGGCAGGACGATCATTCTGAACTGTTTCTGGTTTCTCTTGCTTTGGCCAGTGGTGAAAACTGATTACTAAGAAAAAATTTCATTTTCATTTTTCTTAATTTTTGTAGTAATTTGACTGTCAGAGAGAAGTCTGAGAAAGAGGGCAAAAAAATTCCTAGCAGAGAAAGACAGGAATGTTTTAACTGAAAGTATTGACTATTTTTTCATATTTGGAAACTGGAAAAGAAAGAGCTGCGTGTGATTTATACTTTGATTACTAAACAAAACCTATACTGTCACTCTCTTTTTCACTACTCTACTTTCAGTCCCTTCCTCAAAGTCAGCTATAAATCAATATATCGATTCCAGGATGCACTCGGATGTGTACAAGTATGTGTATTAAACTTTATATTTTTGTATGGATTTAAGAAAATAAATTAAGGGTAAATATGTAATTTCCTTTTAAACCTAACAAGAAGGAGGGAGATCAACTATACGTGCAGGGAAAGCATCCAAATTCCACACATAAAGGCAACAACTATTTCAATCTGACGATTTTCGAATGTTAAAGGCAAAGTTATTCAACTGGGGGGGGGGTTACTTCTGTTATAAGTTTATATCTTATGCTTCCTTCCTTCTAACTTTCTTTCTATGCGGAAACTGACCTTGTTCCTCTGAGTTTCTCTGTACTCTTATTCTTGCTATCCTCCAAGTATGGACTAATCCCCTGTGTTTCTGCAGCATCAGAGTGAACCTGGGATGAGCCTGCTGCGCATAGGTGCAGGTGCTGAGTCTCACTGGCTCAGTTTGATTCGAATGCAAGGAAATAATATGTAGTTCATCTCAATTTCTTTATTTTTTTTGGAGCTGATCTCACATTGTCATTTTAATATATAAACTAAACCATGACTATCTTTTTTATTCATTTCAGAAATAATTTCTGGTAGCAGAAGAGGAGTTTTCCCCTGCCTTATCATTGTCACAGCAGAGTAACTGACAGCAGCACGTCAACAGTCTTGCACATGCACGCACGAATGCACTTACAGGTTTGGGAGGCGATTACAGCTCCTCTGCGGGCGGTGCGTTCAAATCCAGGAGGCTGCCTCTCCCGTCCCTGTTCGTTTGGTTTCGCTTGGATGATTTGAAAGACGTTTAATTATTGAAATGCAATTAATGCAGCTCTCTGTGGGAATAGGCAGAAGACACACACAGATAGAAGCACACACACTTTAGACAGGCAGGGAGCAAACAGCTGGCTATCAGCAGAGATTTAAAAGAGATTCTCATGCGTTTGCGAAGAATTCATTGGGATTATGATTAAAAAATAATAATCTTATCTCCTGAATATGAAATGGCAACTATAAGGCTAAATGAGGATTTCAATGGCATTATCTAAGTGGGCTGATAAACAGATAGGAGGTGGATTAAACCCATGGGAGAGAGGGACACGCCAATGTGTGCAGCCCGTTTAGCGTGAAATCACATATAAAGCCATTCAATTCAAATTCTTTATCAGAAATGCATTTTTGGTGCTCAATGACCTCAACAGAAATGGGAGTATGTTGTTTTTTCTGTATCAAATATACATAATTCTTCATTATATACCATTTGAATGTGAGCTTTTGTGCAAGTAATACTCATTAAAAAAAATACTTATAATAACCACAAGCTCATACAAAGACATGCTCACCGGCATGTAAAGCAAGAGATGTGATGATGTCTTTATGTCTACATATGCGGGGTTGGGAATAAGGTAGGAGCGGGCTACTACAATCCACCTCGCCACTTCACACACATTCCCTCAATGCGTCTTTGCGTGCATTTCAAGGACAAGAGCCAAATCGCAACGACTGAGCCAATTCCAGTGAAAATCAACGACAGGAAAAGCAGCGCAACTGCGACATAAATCATACAGCCTTGGGTGGCTGACACATGGACAACAGTTCAGATCAGCGGGTTTGAATACGTTTGCTATTGTGCGTCTCCACTTTCTCTCTTGTCAAAAGCCCACACGTGTTGATTGTATGCAGTTCATTCATGAAGGCAATATCACATCAATCCAACACATTCCTTCACCTTAATAAAGAGTTATTCCGTGGGGGGAAACATACAGGGTATGATATTCTTTCTTGTCTCGCAACAGCTAAAAATAAATTTTCGGCAAAGTAATTTAGACGAATCAGTACAGGACTTCTACTCCAGCTACCTCGAGGATAAGAAATAAAAAATAAAAAAAAGCTCTTACCGTTAAAGGGTGTAAGGTACGTGTGGATGGAGAGATGAATAAGTGCGGTTTCTCTCTGCTGCTCCCATCCGCAGCTCACTGCTTGTTAATTTGCCGCAGACCCCGCCCCCTTAGCGCCGATTGGTCCAATTAAACTCATCCAAAGAGTTCAGACCTGGAACAAAATAGGAGACTCTTCCACATTTCCGTGTAGTATCCGTATTCCGCTGTATGTATTTATGAGAGCAATAAAACATTATTCTTAACCACTTAAAAGCAGGTTCTTATCTTCGTGTGTTTATTGTTCTTATTTATCATATTATCAACGGTCCCTTTGTCCTATTGTCCAAAATTTCCAAAATCTTTATTTTAAAATAGAACTTTTTTCCTGACATGAATCGTTCTCTTGCTTGCTAAAAGGTTAGCAACATGCTAGCGGCGGAACTTGTCGATACGATTAAGCGTACCACCCGTGTCTGGGACTTGTAGTTCAGTTTTTCTCGTTGCTATTGCAAAACATTAGGGCAACTAAGAGAAGGGACTACAAACAAACGTCAAGTGACACCTCCCAACGCCAGCGGTTTCAGCAGCTACGTCTCAAAAGTACAAAACTCCCTTAATTATTCGAGGGGCGGTACCAATAAATGGCAGATAAAGGTAAGTACTTCTGTTTGTCTTTTATTTTCCATTTCTTTAATTATTTCAGTAATATTATTTTACAGAGCACAACTTTGTATTTACCTATGACAGGAGTTGTTCACCTGTTTTCAGCTACTTGCACGTACAGGTAAAACATTATCATTCTTAAAAATGTTCCCTCCTACTTCCTCTAACTCCAGCACTTCCTTCACTCTCTGCTACAGCTTATTCTCTTTGGCACTTACCGAACAGTCTGTATTCTTTCTTTAAAGAGGCTTCCTGCATATTCAGATAAGTATGTTATCTAGTTGACTAGATGCTATGGCAGGTTCAGCATAGTAAGACTTTACATGTGTTTTGAGAAATGAATTTAAACACATACAAATATATGTTTGGTTTTTTAGTGATGCTATTCTGATGTTTACCAAGCCATTCTTCACCACAGAGGTGAGCATTTAAAAAAAAAAAAAAAGCCCCACATAAGGACTTCAAACAAATCTAAATAAATCCTCTTTTACTTTTCACTTTCATGAATAATATTTTAGCCATGATTAAAAATTATGCAACTCGCTGTGAACGTAACACATAGATTATTCTGTGCAAGTAGCAGATATAAGCCTTTAAAGTACCTCTTTCTATCACTTGCTGCTCATCGCTGCTTTATTCAGGCAAACTGCAAACACCAAGTCACACTCTGTCGCTGTTTACTGCAAAATCTTAATAATCTGACCCTGGAGCTTTGCTGTTATCAGTGACCCGGCTGTAACCAGCATTTACAGTTTTTAAGTTGTATTGTGGTGCTTAAAGCTGGAGTTATGCTGGGCATCCCTTCTACCGATTTAAAGCCATTCATTCACTGCCTTAGAGATAGGGTGTGGAGTTCTGCCATCCAGAGGAAGCTCAGAGTAGAACTGCTCATCCAAAGGAGTCAATTGAGCTGGTTCGGGCATCGGCTAGGATGCCTCCTGGTCACCTCCCTTTGGAGGTTTTTCTGGGCACGTGCTGCTGGGAGGAGGTCCTGGGCAAACCCAGAAGTTGCTGGAGAGATTATGTATCCTATCTACCCCCTGGAATGTTTCAGGATCCACCAGGAAGAGCTGTTGAGTGTTTTGCCAACAAGAGGGATGTTTGGATTTCCCTCTTCTCTGTGACCCGACCTAAGATGAGCAGATAAATATGGATGGATGGATGCACAGCTGGACAGTAAAGATCATAACATTTTAAACATTTATGTGACTGAGCTCCCAAATATTTCTCAGCATACATTTTAAACAGAATATTTTTTACACATTTCTGTTGACTTCAATTTGGCTTTTATTTCTCCCCTCAATCATACCTTCTATTTAACTTCCACTCATTGACCTATTCCTTTTTATTTTACCCAGCATCCAACACATGTCACGCTCATACGCATGCCACGTTCTTAGAAAGCACATCATCTTATAATTTGACAATCCATGCCCTGCCTGCTTACCTGTGTTCCTCTCTCCCTTTTCAGATTGCTTTCTGCCCTTATTCTGTCAGTCTCCATGAGTGATTGATTGCTGTGAATCTGGACAGGCAAACGCACTAAGGGCCACTGATTAGTCAAGGATGACCTCCGAACGAGTGAAGGATGGAGCTTACACCGCCCCAAGTACTCTGAGCAATGTGTTTTATCCCGTTTTTAACCAGGTGTGGCAGACAGAGTTTCAGCAGACATAAGAACGATGGGTGAATAATTTAGCAAACAAGGCCAGCTTTTGTCAGAGGAGAAGGAGGCCTAAATGTGGGGGTTGTAAAGGCTGTTGTGAGAGGACTGGAACAGAGAAGAAGGAAAGTAGAACTAATGAGGAATTAGAGCTAAGAAAGTTTCAGCGCTGTTTATTTGATGCATCTCTGCTTTGATGTGGTGAATCAGCTGGAAAAAATCAAATCAAGCTAAGCTGAAATGCACTTTCTAGAGAAGCTGGAAAATTACAAAAACTTTCAGCCCATAGTGTGTGGCGTCATGTCACACTTCAGCTCCATAATTATTTGGACTTTTCCAAACATTTCAGTGCTTTCTAACTTTCTAACTGAGTTTTAAGTCATATTTATTATTGAAAATGAAAAACGCAAAAGCAATAGATTTCAAGAGCGGTCGAGGAGCAAAATATCAGCTCAGAGGAACCAGAATTCACTTCTCCCGAGTTTACTGGGAAAATATAGATGAGTTTCTTCACAATATAGTACCTGTGTCTTTCATTTGATGTGATGGGATTTTTGGGTATGGTCTTTTTCAGAGAGATGGATCTCCCTGATATGCACTAAGCTGTATGCTGTGTTTTAGGGTTTGTGCTCTGGGGCTTATGTTTGTGTATACGCTTTTTACAACTTCCAACCGGAGAGTGACGTTTTAAAAAAGATAAAAATGTTCCTTTCACAAGTTTGTTTACATTTGATGTAATCTGCCACCCGCTTTAGCAGCTTTCCTCTCACTTTTTCTTCGTTATTAGTAGATAAAGTTGTTCAGTGATTGTGATGGAACTTTGACAGGTTTCCCCACAGAAGGCCAAAGCTGATGGAGAGATCTCAGGCCAGTTGTTTGTTTGAAATCTCTGTGCAGAGAATGATGGCTAAGGTCTGACTCCAGATTTCATGAAGATACCAGGAAAACATCACAAAATATCAGCTGTTGTCGGCTTCTACTTTCCATGATCAGAGATGGTGAAGTGGAAGGTAAGCTGTAATTAGCAGAAGGTTGGAAGAATGTCTTGAAAATGTAAAACTTTCGTAAGGAAAACAAAAACAAAACCAGCAGACTGTGTTTGTCTTCCTCTGCAGTGCCTCAGCTCATGTTGAATCAGCACAATTATCCACTGGGTGGAGCTGTTTCTCTATAAATCATCTCTTCCTGTTTTCAGACTTTCCCTTGTCCCTGTCTGTAATTGAATTCCTTTAGCCGAGTACAGTGATTGATGGTGGTAATGAATTCACACATACACACATGTACACACACACGCATACAAGCACAGTTTGGCTGAATTTTAAATGTGCCTCCAGCATGGTGCATCCCAAGTTCTACCTTAATCTTTTCTTCACATAACAAACTCAACTCGAATACTTTAAATGCGTGCACGCGGGTTCACGCACAGAAACACACACACTCCCACTATTCTCTGTGCTTTTTATGCATTTATGATGGAAACATTTGTCTTATCACACACAAGGCACCCATAGTGATTCTGTTTCAGTGTCCCACCAAGCTATTTGCATGTGTGTGTTTGTGTGTGACTCATCACTGAAGAGTTTCAGATTTATTTATTTTTCTCATCGTTTTGGCATTTTCAGACTTCATGATTGGCAAACGATAGCCTGATTTCCACAAGCTGATCATGAAGAGCCAAGCTCTGAAACACACCCTCCGCTTTCTTATTTTCATGGAAACAAAAGACGTGACTGAATCTTCAGATCACCTCTCAAGGTCTTCACTGGCTTGTTGAAGTTAGAACATTTAATGCAGAATTGTGCAGTGGGGACGCAGAGGAGTTTTACTCTTATGGCTCTGAAGTACACCGAACAATGACCTCAGTGTTCTCTAAAAGGACTTTTTTTTCCTTTGGTGAAGAGGTTCATGGCTTATAGACGTTTCGATATAGTCTTGGTATTTAGACTATTTAAAGTTTACAATGCAATTGTTTTTTATATTTTCAAAAGTTCAAGTTTAATCTGTATATCGACATATATGGAGACTCGACTGGTCATAGTGCATGTCAACCCAGAGACAAATAGCTGATATTTGTCATTTATGCTACTTAAAAAATGCATAAAATGCTTCTCAAAGTGACATAAATAAATTCCCATCAGATTTTCTTAAAATGTTGAGTTCATGTCAGGGAGTGAGCATGTGTGTGTACCTTTTAAAATCCTTGTCCATCACATACACGCGCAAACATAATGTGAGCGATTGTTAATCTGGCTGACCCATTTTGCCATTATTTTGATCGAATTAAAGTCTTTATTCGACTCATTGCTGAAGTGGTTCACCCAAGGGAGGATTTAGAAATAAAATCGATTAAAAGGGAACTCAGATATTCTGAAATGGAAAATTGGGATCGCATGCATGGGGCCAAAGAGTTGAAGGTGAGAACAAGTTTGTGAGAAATTAGGGAGAAAAGGAGACGAGCAGGATCAAAGGACTGTAGTTTCAGGAAGCTAGGGCCTGATAGTAACAGACAGATGTTTTTTTTTTTTATCATACTCCTACTTGTGTTTGTCATCCACAGAGACCGCGCCAATGATTCTATCTTCAGGAAATGTCAGAACAGAAAGGTAAGTGAAGACATTAGGAGGAAAAAAAAGAACTACCTACACAAAGAATCAGTCTCTGTGAAATAAGCGGAGCTGAAAGCCTGTCTATACTTATTGGTTAGGCAATTGGAACAGCAGAAGAGAGTTTGTGAAATGCTCAAAAGAACTTCGGTGACACTCTGTAGGCCTACTTCAAAGATAGAAAGTACAACAGTTTTTTTTTTAAATTGTCTGTTACCCCCCCCCCCCCACCCCCCTTTCTCCTTTCTTCTTCACATGCACCCACATGCCGCCAACACAGTAAATGGCGGTACACTCACGCATCAGAATGCTAACGTTCAGTGTCGGCTCCATGTAAACGGTGGTTGTTTGATCACAGGCCACGGTTCTATCAAATCCACCAATAATTCCCTTGACCCATTGCCAGCGGATTTGTGCTGGCGTGTGTTCTCTTAAGCCTGACATTCTCCATTCCAGCCAGATCAATGTGTTTGGTGGATCAATCTTAATATTGTTGTCATGGTATCTTTACTGTGTGATTGACGCGCGTGTCCTTGAGTCTTTTTCACGGTTGTTTTCAGAGTGAGTAATGCGTTTGTCGTCGCTCTCCCTTCAAACCAACATGAAGCCGCAGACCTTCAAGAAAGTTCTTTCGCATCATAGGATGACACACTCTCACATACACAGTGACATTTTCAGTAGAGAATTAGGAAAATTTGGTATTTTGATTTGCTAATTGGGTATGCTAATCCTAATCTTGGATAGAGAGGTTTTGACATGTTTTCTATGCTATGCCTTGATTTGAAATATTTCTTTGTTTTCTCATTAATTTTTTACTTTTCAACTGTACCTTCGACGGTCAGGCAACATAATTGTCTCTCGCAGGCTGGTTCAAAACAGGTCAGGAAACCAAAAGCCAATTCAACCTCATGCTAAGTAAAATAACCTGTCCATAGGTGATGAGGCGTATGTGAGATGTCTTTGCTACAATGAAGTGTTTGAGATTTCTCTCATTCTGCTATTAGATTTTGAGAATAACAGCCATCCTGTTTTTTATGTATTGTCTAGTCCCAAGTCCTCCATTAGGTTTTTCTGTCAATCTGTTCACACTAAAGAGGCCACTTTTATGCTAAGTATTGCAAAGTGAGGTACAGGTGTATAGATGACTTGTATAGATGTGCAAGTGTCAAGTAACTGAATCGTACAGATTTAAGTTGAAGACAATTGATACTAAATATTAATCTGCTTGACAAGCAGACATGCAATTTTAGTTCCACTGAAACATCTGTTTTGATGATGCCCTATATTTGGAGAAATAAAACCAAAAAAGTGTATGTTTAACTCTGATGGAATAGATATTTTGATAATGGCTTCATCTGTAATTTCCAATGCATTCTTCTTCGTATTTTCAACCAGTGAAAGTTTTTTGACCTGGAATTCCTTGAACTTTTTGAAAAGATTCATGAATAATGAAAACATTTTTTTTTACTGCAAATTAAAGAGTTTTGAAAAGGATTATCAAAACTAGGTCTCCCATCAGATTTGCATTGTTGAAAGAAAGTGCTTCGTTTTCGCTCACTTGCCCTTGCGTTCTCTTTTCTTCGACTGCACCTCTCTCTTTCAAGCACTAAGATCCTTACCCCCCCCCTCATTCCAGCAACTTCATTCTTCTCCCCGTATAATAGTGGATTTTCCATGGTGGATTTGTGCTGGCCTATTTTGGGCTCTGCACAGGCTCCTGCGTGCACTGCTGTAATCCAATTGTGATAGTGTTAATTTTTAAAGCTTTATAATTGAAATCGCTGAGACTTAATTTTCTGATCCTGTCACTGTTGACGGCTGCCATAATCATCTAATTCAAGTTATTTCAGACCATTAAGTCACACATGGAGATTTGTCATGGTCACTGGGACAGGAGGATGGATGGAAACCTGAGTATTGATACTGGATGTATAGTTTTTGTGTTCTTTCCAGCTTGTTGTTATGCTGTCAATCTGTTGATTTGACATAAACAAGCCCCTTAGTTACTACTTTTTCTCTTTTGATTTGTATGATCCACATGATACCCTCTCCAAGGAATGAGAGTGGCATCGTAAAGTACTGGTCATGTGTATTTTATTTTTCTGAAGCCTTAGGTTCACAACGGCACTCTGCAGTGATTTCAGCGCGTGAACATCTTTATGGGTGGATGTAAAAATTGTGCTCTTCTTGTAAAGTCTTGTGTTGTTGCTCAGGCGATAGCATGTGTGCAGGTTTGTTGGGGCGTTTCTGTACCTCACACAGATTATGTTCTCTCCAGTGCTTAATCTCTAAATAGAATTAATACATGCACACATGCGTGAAAGAATAGTACGTGGACTTACAAACAGTGGCACTCTTTTTTTTGACAACTTGGTTGCCCGGAAACTTGGCCCTGAGTCTTAAAGAGTGAGAGATAATAAAGTACTGTGTGTTTGTGGCCCATGCCACTGTCAGGGTTACTGGGAACAGTTAAGTTAATTCTCTGTGGGGGTATGTATGCTGCAGCTGCTGGTTGCTGTCCAAGAGGCATTGATTGCTTCTTAAACATTGCTGGCTTGGACAAACCTCTGCATGGACGCAAATCCCAGGCTGGAATTAGCTGATTCCAAAGCTGGCCAACCGTGGATATAGAATTAGTTAAGAGTGTCATACATGAGTGTTTCCACATCAAGGAACGTGGGGGACTCAAAACATTAAACTGACCGTCTCGGTGAGTTTGGATTTGCAGTTAAGTGCAACTCTGTACTTTTTGGACTTCATGATATCAAGACTAACATGGCTGAATACTGTATTTGTGTATGTGTTCACATTTGGACAAGCTTATGTGGGTCACATTTGCTAAGGGACCCATTTTCACAATTATAGGAGGTCTCCCGGGGACAGTAACATCAGGACGAGATGCCTCAGATGTCTTAGATTCGAGGAACGGTCGGGGTGAAGCATCGCCTCAAAATACCACCGCTGAACAGAACTGCACTCCTACAGTAAGATCCAGACCGACGCTGGCAGCTCGCTGCAAAACAAGCCAGAATGTGGTTGATTAAAAGTTATCGCACTCATAAACAAAACATGAGCAAATTGTGATGAGAGTATCAGCACTCTCTTTATTTATTACAGTGGCAGTAAGACATCTGCTGCAGTGTAGTTGTCGCTGTCAGAGATGAAAATAAAAGTATCTTCGCGGGATGACTCTGTTAATCGCATTCATAAAAAACAATGATAGCTGAAGCAGAGCATAAATTCTTTTTGTTCTTTTTTCTTTTTTTTTCCTTTTCTTCCCCATTCATTACTCTGTCATCTCAGTTGAAGTGCAGTTTATGCCACATCCTTTGAATTTGTCCCAAGAGTAATCCTTTCAGGCTAAATATCAAACCGATAGGGCTTGCTGTCCTCTCTTCGCCTTTGGGTTGAAAATAAGCTAATTGTTTTAGCATTTTTCTCATAAGCAAGAAAAATCAGGCAATCAGGCAAATTGAACACATCCCAACTTTTCTCATACTGTTATCATGCTTGTCATTGATTTGATTTCTCCCTCTTTGACACCAGCTGACGTAGCAGAGACTTGACATGCCTTGGCAACCTGCTGCTTACTTGAAACGTTTCTTAGACCTGATTTGGAGACCTATTCACCCACCTTCAAAAGCCATTGAGCTGGAGGAAAATGAAAGACCTTTACACGCTGTTCCACACAGGCCTGTTTGTATTGAGCGAAAAGAGCCCCAAAAAAAAGAAGTCTGCCGCTGTGATCCCCGCTTTATGACCATTATGACACGACAGCCCGCTGTGAAATAGATTTTGAGGGTTACTAGGGGATTATTCAAGCTGGGGAGGATCCTGTTTTGTCATGTTACACATAGAAAAGACGGCACATGTATTATTTGACCGAGACTTCAGCAGGAAATGTACACAGACTTTACCTCTGTGACCTTGTCTTGTGTGTTGGTGATTGATTGACAGGTCTGAGCAGTAACCATGGGAACGAGGATGGAGGTGGCACAGCTTGAAAGCAGGATGAACACGGAGGACTATAAAAGATTACAGAGCCTTTTCCTTGTGAGCCTGATGTTATGTTAGAATTAATAGCCTCATTTTAGCATAATCAATTCTGATGGGAATCGTTTAAATAAGGAGTAACATAGATGCCACAGCATCTCATTTGACTTGCTGCAGGAACAAAAGAAAAGTCTTGCATCGTATATAGCTGTGATCTTGTTCGTCCTGTGTGCAGAATTCCTCTGGAGCATCTCGCTCCTTGTCCAGAGCTGAATTCATAGATCTTGCTCGGTCATCAGTAGGCCTCGGGTCCGAAGAGGAATACGGCCTTCTGTTTGATGGAGTTGTTGTCACTCAGGAGCATCGCAGCCTCCTTCTAGGGAGCAATGGCGTGGAGGAAGAAGGACGTATCACTTGGCAAGGCCTGGTCTCCTTTCTTCTCCTGGAGCTGTCTGACAAAGTCAAACAGAGCCGGGCCATCAGTGGGCCTCGCTGGAAACCGCCACGCACCCTAACCTGTCCACATCGTGATCCTGTTCAAAAGGTGAAATAGTCACTGACCTCTCGGAGACTCCGTTTTTTGAAAAGCGTCTTTGAAGCGTCTGTACATAAAAACATAAAAAGCATGCACTGGTTGCAAAATGCAAAACTCTGCTGACTGGAGGGAAATCTGCATTATTAAACATTGTGTGGGGAAACGTTCAAAGGTATTAGGGTCTCGCCTATCAAAATGACACACCTCTTTTGAGATAAATGGGTTTGGACTGCCTTAACATCTATCAATTAATATGCAAATGAAGGAGCTGGTATAAAGCGCCTACAGCTGTGGATAGAGCGAAGGCTCACCACTTTAATCTGTCAATCCCGAGTATGTCAAAGTGTCAGAATGTTGTGTCAGTTGTTTTCCACATGGCTGAAAGGGTATGACCCTTTCAATAAGCCTGCACAGTCAAAGTTTCAATACATGGCTGCATTGAATGACTGAATATAGTGACCGAAGGTTTTCTGTGGTTTAAATTTGGTTTTTCAATCTAAATGACTAAAATACAGAATATTGGCAAATCCAAGATAAATGCAAAACATGCCAATCCAGAAACTCTGGTACGGCATCAACACTCTTACCTCAGTTTGGAAGAAATAATAAAGCTTTATTTCATTAAATGTTCCCCTCAGATGCAGTCGGCTTCAGCATTTTGCATTCCAGAGCTCGGTTTTAATCTTGCAATTTAGCCAGTAAAATCCTGCAATTAATTAAATCTCCATTATTTTATTGGCTGCAGCACAGAATGTAGCTAGCTCCGTTTTATTCACTTGTGCCCAATAAGAGGCAGATTTAGGGTGGAGCCCATGTTTAATGGACTTATTCAAGTGTATTTTTATTGTTATAGAGTAGCAAGCAAGAAGGGGAAGTAAATGATAGAATACATTTTTCAAGTTGTTTTTGCAAAATCCCCAGCCGAACAAATGAGCTCTGCACTGCTTCATTAAAGCTGTGGTGAATGTAAGAATAGTATCTCTCTGTTTGTTGGGCTAATCTGTTTATCTGTCCCAGTCTTGTGATATTCTCTGGTGTTCCCCAGGTGTCGTACCAGCAGAGCTCAGGCCAGTACCTGACAGTGAGCAAAGGGGGAACGGTTGTGCGGCGGGACGGAGAGAACCTGTCTGTTCTACACACACATCGTCTCCAAAACAGCACCGTCACACCTAAAGACCTCTGGGTCACAGACATGGTGCTTTTGAACAGTGTGCACAAGGTTATCAGATCTTTTTTTTTTTTTTGAAAGTTCCTTCCCCAAAAGCCTACCAGTTTTTGTTGTTTCTGCAGAACATACGTTGTGTCCCCTGTGGCTAGTTCTTGCTATCTAGGTTAATAGAAATGAGTTTGAATGAATAACCAGTCATTTATTGGAACGGATACTGTACTTCTAAGATTATATCCCAAATTCAGTTAATCATTGATTGATTGATTGATTAGTTGGTTCTTTTAATTGCATTGCAGATAGATAAAGCTGTTGCATAAAATAAAGCAAAAATGGGAAATATTAATTTGCAGAGACACAATCAATAATTAATCACCATTTTGAGTTAGCTCATTCAACTGTCCTGTTTTAGTTGTAATAAGTTAAGATTGGATTATCAGCGAGAGAGTGTTAGACCATTGTTATGTCACCTTATAAAGATTTCAGTATTATTCTTTTTCTCTAAGAACTTGTTTCTTCTCTCAGATTGCAGTGGCTTTTACTTGTAAGGAGCTGTGTTTTTACAACGCATCTGAACAGGACTTCAGCCTCAAGTTTAAACTTCAGGTGACAGACAAGTTACTGAAATGGTCCTCTTAAAAACTTGTTGTTTAAGATATTGTTTTTCAGAATACTTTAGATTTTTTTCAGTTTCAGTCTGGAGAGTAACTCTCAAGAGTTCATGCCTTTACAAATGAAAAGTGTCAGTGTCCATTCCTTATTACCTACTTATTTTCTGTAGGGTTTGAGGTTTGTTCCATGGTGTTTGGACTACTGGGTGGATCCTTCTCACCCTGACTGGGTTGTCCTCACCATTGGAGACACTGGAGGACAGGTAATATACAAGTTGACAAAGGATAAAGAAAGAATAGAAAACGTAGCAAATTTCCTGTTCGTAACCTCATAATTGCATTGTCTGTGCGTGTCTGTGACTGTGCGTGCGTGTGTGTGTGGTTTCCCAGGTCAGTGCTATATGCTTTACTTCAGCACAGATATCGTTGTTTAACAGACTCAGTCTGAGGTCAGGCTCTGACTCAGGAGACATCATCCAGTGGGATGAGTTGGTTAAAGGAAAACATTGCTCCTGTTACGTCCTGACACACCAAGCACACACTCCGGCCTGGGTCAGAAGAGGTAGGAAATGAAAAAGACACATATATTGCCTCTTTGATGATTACCTAATGTTTTTGTGCATTTTTAAGTCATAGAAAATAATTATTTCCTGTCTTGTCTCAGTGCAAACATGTGTATTCAGTCACTGATGCAAATGAAGGAGCTAACAGAAAGAGGTTTAATCTATGGATGTGCTCCATTAGGATATGCAAAAGCTGAATCGCTAAATTGCTCTGACTGCTGTCATCTGAAATCACCAGTGTCGTGTTGGCTAATTGTTGCAGCTGTTTGTCATTCATATGTGGAGCTGCATTCACCTGCAGGCTGAGGTCATAAATGGGTTTCATTATCAGAACAGAATAAAAGCAAAAAAAAGTGGGTGATTGAAATGTTTAAAAGAGAAATGCGCACTGGGTGTCGGGACTGCAGAATGCTCACCCACACACTTTAACCTTGACACCTGGGAAGAATGCCCCAGGCGTGCTTATGCAACAGTGTGTAAAAATGCTTAGGTGGGTACTGAGTCACCCGCCTCATAGCCAGACTTTTTACTGCCGCTGTGTAACGTCACAGGCAGGAGGTCTGGCCTGCAGAGATTCTCCACTTCAACGGAGTGTGGGTAACAAAGAGGATGCTTTGTTTATGCTGATTGCATCACTTAAATGGAGTCTGAGGAGTTATTGGGCCGTTTGATAACTGTTCAACAAAGACACTTTGAAATGGGATTGACTGAAAAGGGGGATCTTGATAAAAATGAAAACAAGAATAAAGCGCATGCTCTGTACATAAGCACAACGAATAGGGAAAACAGAGGGGATAACAAGAGGAGAGAGACAGAGGAGACAATAGCAGCATAAAGCCTGCGGCTGAATGAAGTCTTACAACAAGTATTCATTGTACTCTTTGTGTGGTGTTTTTGGAGTTTCAGAAAAGAAAAGGAGGGAGTCAGTGTTAGTCCCAATGTGTGTTTGCATACCTCTGGGGTGCTGGTGCTGTTCTTTTGAAGTTTTCTACCCTGCAATAAGAGTGGGCTGTGTACCATTAGACATGGCTGGTTATCCAGACCTTCAAACCTTGGGGCTAACGGGCCACCAGAGAAAGGAGGAAACATGGAGAGTGCTGTGGAACACAGAGGTAAAATGAGAGGAAATTAGGAGGAAATTGGTATGGACACAGGGCCTTGAGGCGTGAGAGGTGTAGGACGTTTTGGTGCATGCAAGACCAACATTATCATATCTTCATGTTGCTGTGGCCAAAGACATGAAAAAGAAAACTGCAATGAGCGTTCAGGTCACACAGACACCCCCAAAATGCGCGGCAGTCCATTGAACCGCAGAGGCTGTGATCTGCTTTGATGTAGATATGCGGGGAATCTTCCCGCCTTTATGGTAACTCTAACCTGCCACCAAAATACTGGAGATTAGCTGTTACAGCAGCTAAAGAAGGCCTGAGTGTCGCTGCATTAGAAACAGACTGATTCATTTGATCGGTGAAGGAAAGGCTCATCATTGAAAACCCTAACCCCCAACTAATCTTTTTTTTTCCACAGAGAGGAGAAAAGATTAGATATAGAAAACATAATCAGACCTAATTATTTGTCCGAGCTATGCGGCTGATCTTTGACCTGAGACTGTCACATGCCATTGCGCATGGAGCCCTTATTTGGGCAGTCTTTGAAAGCCAAGCAGCCTCTAATAGAGACACGCAGCATACAATTTGCCTCCTCTTAATCAGCATGCTAATTGAGATAGATGGTGATGCAAAATATATTACGTTTTCTGTACTGCCATTGAGCAAATGACACTGTGCCTGGCAAGTGGTTGGTTTACCCTACAACAGGGCAGAGGTCATTGCACATTTACAACCATCAACCTTATAATTTTATGGAACCTTCACCCGTCTCTCTCTCTTTATTGAATAATATCAAAGAGTCAAACACGGCTCTACAAAAAGTCTCTCAGTTGATGCCAGAGGTAAGCTTGATAGACTTTGATAGACAAAGTTGTGCCATGGAGCAGCAGGGGCACCTTTTTGCAAAGAATAAAGTGGCCAAAATCCCAATTGCCTGTATCATTCCTAACTAAAAGCCTAATGAAAACTTACCAAAACATGCCCACACACACTTCAGACAACATTGAAGCATTTTTCTAACCCATTGAGACGAAGGTTGAACCACTGGGCTACAACGGTTATGAATGAGATAAAGCATGAATATAATCAAGCTTTGAGCTACGAAATGCATACATGTTACTGTTTTTATTTTAAAGCACAAGAGTTTCCGTGAAATCCTAAACCCAGCGGTATATCTTCTTCACCCAGCACAATATTCATATAGTTATTCAAAAATGATAATTTTGATATTTGCATAACATTTTAAAATGACAATTGAATACGAAGTATAAATTGAAACCTGCCAATGGAAAGGTTAGAAGTCTTCATCGTGCAGGTCTGTTCTCTTTTATAGTGGCTCATGCTTTTCTAGATATGTTGTTCCTCATCTTGTTTTCATTTGCTCTTTTCTCCTCCAGTTTATTACCTGGGCTCACTTGAGGCCTTTGTGTCATGCAGTACTAGACCAAAGAGCAGCATGGTGATTAGCTGGATGGAAAAGGAAACCAGGAGCCTCAGAGTTACTACTTATGCCACAGAGAGGGGTGTATTGGATGTGGATTACCACCATGAACTCAACCTAATAGGTGGGAATGTATTTTTAGTCCTACATTGTCATATGTTAGATAATACATATGAAGACCATAGGTTAAAGAGAGTGAGTGTAAACGGGGTTGTGATTTACAGGAAACCAGTCCCAGGCTTTTGTGTTTTAAGTATATTTTTTCATCCTAGCAGGCATATTTGTTGCCCTGTTTTTGGGCGACATGGCTGCATTTTGTTTGGAATGCTGTTGCATTTGCAGCTCGCAGCCACCGCTGTTCTCAGCCACTCCAATTAATCGGACAAACCCTCAGTCAAAGATGTCGAATGCCTCATTGAACTCTGAATTAGTTATGGAGGCGGCTGAAAAACAACACGGCTTCTTGTAATTAGTTCATTTGACATTCTTGTTGGAGGCAGCCACTGCAGGTGTGGACCATCAAGTGTTGCTGTGGAGCCCATTTGTGACTTCTGGACCGATGTTTGCGCTCACTGGGCACTCCAGCCCTGTCATCGCAGTTCACTTCATGCAGACCAAGCAACAACTGCTCAGCTACTCCAAAGATAAGGTAGGCGTTTGTGTGTGGAACAGAAAATGTAAAGATTAAGAACCATGTAATTGTGATATCAATTTATAGTCTTTCCTTGAATTAACTTAAATTGCGAGGTCATAGTGCAGATCACTTGTGGTCTGCTTAATCATGTTACTACTGGAAGAGCAGGTGTTTCTCAGATGGGAAACAGCATTTCTTTTAAAGCCCATCTTTTTTTCCCCTGTGCCTCTACTGCCACTTCCCTCAGTTGTAACATGCTTTCTTTCTCTTTAGCTTTCAGCAGAGAATGAATATTTTAGTGGTGATTTATGCTCCATCTGCCCTCTGCTCAAACACCATCTGCCAAAGCAAGGAACTCTCAAGGCTTTACCTCAGTTATCTTTGGAAGTGTTCCTGAAACAGCAGTAGTCGACTTGGTTAGTGCTGTAATGCAATATGGCGAGGTCTTTGTGACTAAGTGACACAAACATTAAGGCAGGCAGCTGGAGAGGCACTTCTTCCTTGTAGATAATATATTTGTCACCAAATTATTAATTATAATTTTAACTTAGAGTTGGATGGTTTTTAGTCATATGTGGAGCACGTATCGGCTTTAACAAATATGCTGTTTCTGTATTGTCTCTCAAGGTGCTCTGCCTGTGGGACGTGTCCAACCAGGTGTGCATTCACCGTCTGGCTGGTGTCTTCCCAAAGACGCAGGAGGACACACGCAATCTCCTGTTTCTTCAAGAGGAGCATCAACACCTGCTGCTTTCACACAACAGCCAGCTTCTTTTGCTTGAGACCGTGAAGGAGGAGAAGAAAACCAGCAGCCATGAACATCCCATCACCTGCGTGCTGTATAACAATCTGTTCAGACAGGTATCTGTGTGAAATTGTGATTATTAGCACATTAAATGTGTTCCCAAGCCCTTAAAAAACTGAAAAAAGCCACGCATAGAACTGTGTCAACGAAATGCCATGTAGCCGTGTGGGGGTTGCTTTATGAAAAATGTTTTTTGCAGAGCTGATCACACCAATTAAGAATTTCTTATTCAGAGCTCAGGAATATCCCCCATACTTTAATCAAAAGTAGAAAAGTGTAATCAGTAAGTGGGTCTGTTTCTTTAAAATGTAGTAATGTGCTATTTATGAGATGATGATGCCTTTTTCTTCTGTTGCCTTTTTGTGTTCCTAACACTAACAAATTACATTGACGGCAATGTGGAAAAGTTGCTTGGCAATGTTGGATCAGAGGAGATATACCTTTTGTTCTATGGCCTATTTATTTTCACCTCTTATCCCTTCCATCCATCCTTTAGACAATTTACAACAATAAAACACAGGGACGTATAATTCTTGGATCCTCAAAACATGTAGTAGTTTTAACATTTTTTAAAGCATCTGTAACAGTTTCAGATAATGCAATGACTTGAGCATTCAACGATTTCTTCTCAAGAAATTCAAAAGCAACTTAAAGTGTTTTAAACAGCACAAGCAAAGGCAAAAGAAGTAAAGCCTACATTCATAGATTCATTTCTCACAGCCTTCAAATCTTAATAGAGAATTCACAAAGGCAGATGTGTACATGTAAAGATGTGACTAATTAAAATGTAAAGTGCTGTTAATCAAAGACCATTGAAACCTTAATGTGAATCATTTTGGACCAGCAACGTTTTGACATATTCTGACTGTGAGGCTGTGTTGTTTCTTATCTAAAACTAATTTCTTTCTCTGCTCCCCTTCAGAATCACTGCATAGTTTATACGCACGTGTTGCAAGACGAGTGCAACAGCCTTAGCTCTATCTCTAAAAGTGGTCACTAAATTCAGCAACCCAGCTCACAGTTATCCTAACACCTAATGAGTCAAACTGTTGATGTTCAATAACCTTGTGTGTCTGCAGGTTGTAAGTAGCGACTGTGCCTCCTCTGTGATCTGCTGGCTGGCTGACACAGGCCAGAAGGTCAAACAGTTTGACCGTTGCCACGGCAATAGTGAGATCACCACCATGGCCCTTGACGCTACTGAGACCAGGCTGTTTACTGCAGGTGCTGACGGAGAGGTCAAAGTAGGCAGCCTGCACACAAACACATTTTGGCTCAGTTATGAATCGGATCATTGCGGACCCGCCCAGACCAGAGGAATAAACTCCAAATACAGAGTTGTGAATCTTTACAAAGTTGACTTCAATTCCTTTAATTATTTGGCATGGTAAGGAATATTTGCCTGTCTGTCTGTTTGTAATTATCAACTAAATTGCCTTACTTATTATACTCACATAATTTATCGATAATGGGAGAAGAAAACAAATGCAGGCAAATTAGACATTCAGTATAAGGTCTTTAAGCAGTTTTATGGCTTTAATAATTCAACTGAATTTATTTAAACTCCACAATGAATTTGTGCACATAGCTTCCATCAAACATGGGGAAGGTTTCAGGGATACTAACAAAAGAAGGCTTAATGGGAGGCATCATGGATGACAGCAGACAGAAGAAGCCAGATTAACTGTGAGGCATACTGGGATATACGGTCAGCTCTCATTCATTTCCATTTATAAGACTCAAATCATGCAACAAAAGCAAGGCAAAAATTATTTTAAAAGGGTAAGGAAACAAATTCCTCAATGCCAAGTAACTTTTTGACCATGACCATGCAAAGCTTTTAAAATATGAATTCTCATGTCCAATTGTCAATGGGTGAACCAGTGTCCTTAGGCATCAGAGACACCAGAGGCATCTCCTTGCTTTGCCCATCTTAAGGTTTTACTCTTTTTGACTTTGAGTATGTTTGACATTTTGGCAAAACTCTGTTTGCACAAGCCCTTGTTCTTTTTGTTTTAAGATTTATAATGCAAAGAGCTGTTTTCCATTTATAGTTGCCCACATTTCATTACTGCATAATGACTTCAGACTTGAGAAAATAATAGAATAATTAGCTATTTGGCAATCAATCAATGTAATCAACCACATTAACTCTCTGACCCCATGAGCTCTTGTGTGAGTGCAGCCACACGCATTCCTTGCATGTGCCGTCAGCCTTTGAACTCATCCCCAGCAGAAAAAGCAGGCACCCCTTGCGCCAATTAATGACAAGGAGCATCATCTCTCCAATTTTCATCAACATTGAACCTGCGGTGTAGCAGTTAATACATTCAGAATTTGAAATTTTGACCTTTTAATTACAGTGTTCCTATTGAGACAATCAATGTGTCTTTGCCACAAACAAAAGGCATAAATTACGTCATCATGCAAAACTGTTGCAAGACAGTGAGAGACATTTACCAAGCTGTCACTGTGGATTAATGTACTGCTGGGTATGAGCCCCAAATTCCATTCCACTCCCTTCTCATCAGTCCTAGAAAAATATGACCAGCTATACTTTCTTCAATCGGTAATAGAGCAGAAAATGCTAATAATGCATTTTAAATAGGTTTTCCTGGAAAGAAAAATGAGACTGTAATGTCAGGATAGCAAGTTGTCTCCTCATCAATAAATCTGGTTAATTTCCTGAGAAATGTTAAGGTGGCATGTTGGCTAACGCTCTCATGGCAACTTATTTCTAATTCCAGTGTATTCTGGCTGATTGCACTTTAAATTCTATCTGTCATCCAGGTATGGGACTTCAACGGCCGCTGCCTTCACAGGATGAACGCCGGCCTGGGGCGGCCTGCGATCATTTTGCAGGTCTTGTTGCTGAGGAGGAGCATATTGACAATGGGCTGGAAAAGGTTATTTTTTATTACCTTTTCTTTAAGAAATGTGCAGATAGCAGGAAATGTTTTGAGTTTTGTGTGTGTTACAACCCTTTGTGTAATGCAGTTCAATATTTAAACCCTGGGATAGAGTAAATCTGCAGCAGTTACAGGCATTTTCAGTACTAATGCCTTAAAATAGATGTTTGAGGGTTAAGACTTGGTTTCAAAGTCACCATTAAATTTGGTTTACTGTGATATGTGATAGGGGAAAGGAGAGAGGATACAGATACACTGTGTCCTCACAAAGATAGAGCAACAAAAGGGGTGTGTGTTTCTGTCTGTGCTCTCCAGCTGTGACAGCCTGCCAGCAAGTCAAAGCCAACCAGACATCTGGACCCTAACAAGTCAGATCGCTCCAGGGCTCTCACTTTCGCTTTACCTCATATTTGTGTGTATATGTGTGCGTATCTTTTCTAAACTGACATCACATCTGCTCTTCATCATCATCGTCATTTCACACCCTGTGAGCTGAACTCAGCAGTGCGCCACCATCCAGTTATACGACTTCTACTCTCTTTCGTCTCCATGGAAACACACACACGTGTACACACACTTTTGTGCCATGGGGTCATTTTGTGTCTAACTTCATTTCCTTCAGCGTATCTGCTACTTGAGTAATTATAACTCGATACATCCTGATTTTGATAACAATAGGAATACAAGGTCCAATTGCAACACGAAAGCAATAGAGCGACAACACATCTGAAAAAGTAAAAGACAACAGTGTTGTCGTGATTTTTATCACACTGAGAATGTTTTGCTTCTTCCCATCAAGCACATCCACAGTCCAATCATAATCACAATTCAAATGACATCCAACTCAGTTCCTTCATTCCAAAAGAAAATGCTTTGTATTGGTTTTTACACTAATAGCAACAATGCATCGGTACTTCCATTCACACACCGTACAAGAAAAAAGGCAAAAAAGCAGAAGTGCAGGTACAGTGACGAGGAAAGGTTTAGAGAAGTAGAACCCTTTGCAGGTGTGCCGCAAACCCCCCTGCAGTGCACATCAAAGTGGTGCATATCAGTGATATCCCCATAGCCCTGTGGTTTCAAGGAAGGCTTTCATCAGGCATCAAATGTGTTAGTGTTTAAATGCACGTTTAAATGCTACACAGGGGAAATACAATACAACAGATTCTCTAACCTAGTCCAGGCTGCTAACACTTCTTTCTCTGAGGCATGTGAAAAGATCAGATTCAAGGAATGTCTTTTTTACCATAACTTTGGCTAAAATAACCGCCTCTGTCACAACAGTCAGTTGGGAAAGTTGACATTATACTGTACAGAATGTAAACATCTTAAAAAAGTTCAGCATATCTCATGAATACTGTTTTTGTAGTAGGTCATTATTACTGTCACCTGTCGACAGTGCCTCTTTGAAATAATGATTTCTATTTTTGCTTGGTCGAAGTTGATTCTGTTTGTCTTTTATTCATTCTGCAGTATTCAGATATGACTGTGAATGTAAATAAAGAAATACTTTTTTAAAGAGATAAAACCCAAAAATATTTTGGGTGCTATCTATGATTTTTTTAAATCTATTTGGTTTATTTGCATGTAGAATCTCTGTTTACTGATGCGTGGTATTGAAGCTGACATTACTGGCACTGTTTTTTTAATACCATCTAAACAAATTGATTGCTGCTCCTATAGATATGTAGATGTTTCCGCACAGCAGATGACAAAGTAGAAATTGGCTCAGCCCTTGAGATATGCAGCAAATCTGCATAAAATCCTGCACACAGTATTTATAAGTTTGCAATGAGAATAATCCTTCAACCTTAACTCAAGTATTACAGAACTTGCAAGAACCATTTAGTCTCTCACCAGAAACATTCACTGTCAATACTGTAAATGTTTTTGCTTATATGTACTTATTTCTATTTCTGAAAGTAGTTGTGTATCTCCACAGTGTTGGTAATTAATGGTATTATAGTATCGGAAATACTTTTATAAATAAACAGGTTCAGTGTATGTTTATGTATAGAGTCTTGTCACCATGTTTATTTTGTGTTTTCACTCTACAGGATGTTAACAGTTTTCCATCTTCACTCTTTCTCACGGCCAATCGTGGAACCCTCGGAATGGAAGGGTGGCGTTCAGCATCACGGGGACATTCTCTGTGCTGCATACCAGCCTCCGCAGAGTCTTGTCACAGGTGTGTGTTTTTGTTAACATCAGCATTGTTTCAGCATTGACGATCTCAAAGACAATAACATCTCTTAACTAATATGGCTTGTTCTGCCTGAAGAGAGACTGTGCATGTTCTTGCCTGAAAGTTTGTGTTCTGTGCTTTTTTTCAAATCGCAACTTACATTAAAACCAAGCAGGGAGCTCTTGTATAACTGAGCAGTTATCTGGTGATTACAGTAAGTGGGGTTATCAAAGAATTCAAGCCGCACACTCTTGTGCTGGAAACAGCTATGTGTTTTATGTGTATCTGTGTATGTGTAAAGTCAGTAAGAGAGAATGTATTTCCAGCCTTCAGTGGTGCTCGAGAGATGCTCGACAGGTTTAAAATTTTGAACCACAGTTTTTGATCAAACCTTTAGCTGGACTCATTTTTAGGGAGAATTCAACCTAAACACATCACCCATGTGCTTGCCTCCCAGATTTTGTATTGATTTTTTCCATTTTACTGCTCACCTTGTTTTAAAGTGCTTTGCCCCAAAATACATCTGGGACAGAGACTCGATCTACTCCCCCTCACTTTTGAGATACTGCCATCCTCTCCACAACCATTACAGGCTTAGAATTTCACAGAAAACTCTAGGAATACTTTAGGCTTTTATATTTGGCTTTAAAATAAGATAAGATAACATTTACTAAATAGACACAGACAAAAAGATGAAGACAAAAAAGTACAAGACATTTTCAAAGATTATATAAACCACCCAAAAATGAAGGATGGGATGGTAGGTTTCAGGTTCTGATTAGGTACAAAAAGCATCCACCAAAGACATTGTCTTTAAAACAAAGGATGGATTATGGTTCATAAGATCATTCAAAGAATGATTTCTAAGTCCCAAAACATTTTCTCTACGTAAGATTGCATAGAGACAGGCATAAAAGAATGGATAATGCTGTCTGTGTGGAAAACCAGTGTTTGATGCGCAGGATCTTCAAGACTTAAGCAAGCAATGCTAAAGAGATTGCATGACACAGAGATTGTCATTACTACTGGGCACAGGTGTATCATAAAAAACATTTTCATTATGTGTCCACATCCAAAATGTAAGCTTCAGCAATGCCACACCGAGAAAGTGTCAAAGTCAACTCTGCACTAGAATACCGCTAATGCAAAAGCATGTACTGTATAGAAATTTTGGAGGGTCACTGTCCTTTCCCAGAGAGTTTGTGGTTATTTATTATATTTATTACTATACAGTGTCAGATCTCACGCAGCAGTTCTTCTAGCAGCATGGCTTTATAAACATGCTCTGTGTGTGTGTATGTGTTTGACTGGCCAGGTTTCAATCTACATCTACTACCTGCCTAGAATGCAAGATGTATTAGGAAGACGATTAGGAAGGATTTGGACTGCTGCAACTGTGCATTGTTGGATTGCTGACTTCTTATGCTGAGAAAGAATGGAAACAGATAGCTTTTGCAACTGAAAAATAATTTTTTTATCAAAAGGAAGGTTCCCAAGAGAAACAATATTTCACATTTTCATTAATTTGTGCTGAGGAACCAACTATATCTTTTTACATGTTATAATAATTTAACTTTCATGTTTTGTCCTGATCAGATTTATAATTGAATCCTTAAAATGATGAAATCTCTGAACATATAATGAAAAAAGTGCTTCACACTTACACAGATGGTAGTACATGTTACCCATGTTTTCCCCACTTCTTTTGTTCCCTTGGATGTATTTTTTTGTTATTTTTTTCTGTGCATGCACAGTGAGTGAGTAATTATACAGTTAGCAACAAATATCTGGAGTTATGATCACAAGAATCAGGCAGCTGACCAGTCCATTTTGTGTCAAAGTGAAAGGTTAATGATTCACACTTTAGTTGCCAGAGTAGAGTCTGAAACTCACAGCTTATTAGAATGCAGAAACACCAGGTGCCTCTGGCGAATGGAGCCATCTCTTCTCATCCAATCACTTAAATTCATTATTGCCCTCTGTGAACTCATGCAAACTTTGTAACTCAAATTCACTTAGTTTTTTCTTATTTCTAAGTGTTCGGCTTTGTGGGTTTCTTGCACCCTGGATGTAAACCCTATGGGGCTTAATCACATCTGCCAAGTTGTCACATTGTGCAGTCCAAGACTGTCAGCTGCCATTAACCAAGAAACGAACGTCTTGCACTTTTCATGAGAAAACCAGCATCCTTACAAATGAAGGAACCTGTTTCAATCTTTACTGTCGCAAGACAGCAAACTTTGAAATACCAGCAAGGACTGTCAGCACCTGTCACATCTTCAGACTTTTCTGCCCAGGGGATTGAACTGGCAATCCTCCAGTCACACTCTGCACCCAATTTGCCCCAGCCTGCTCCTTAGTGTGTGTAGTGGTATCACTTTGGCTCTCACATTGAAAGCTCCCATTCATTTTGTCAGTCTGGGCAAGCAAAGTCGAGACATGAACTGTAGACCTTCTGCAGTTTTCTTGGAGAGATCAACCTCAGAGATAAGCATAGAAAGCGATAAAGAGAAGGAGGTGGGAAAGTATATAGGATGGGCTCTTTTCAAAGCCATAGGATTGGTTCAGAAGGAAATGAATCGCTGGAGCTGGAACAAAAGCACATTTCGGGAGCCGCTTCAAGAACTTGGAAACTTCTTCAAAGTTTCTTTGTCAGTGTATTCAGCCTGCATTCCCCCTCCTACCTCCCCGGCCTTTAACTGGCATTTTACTTTCACCCATACCTTCTTTTTTATCTTGCTTGCTTAGCACAGTTTAGTTCAGCTTACTGAATTACAATATCTGTCTACACACAGACACACACACACATGCACACACACATGTCCAGGCACATGCATAGACAAACACACACACACTGCCCCCTCTAATTTAATCCAAAGTCCAATTTAAATGACACTTATGAAAGCTGTCTCAGTGGGAGTGAGGGGAAATGAGATGGAGTATTTTTTGCCTTTTAGCCTATGTGTGTCCCTGTGAGCATGTTTTTCAGCTGCAAGATCATGCTGTTATCTGTGAACATCATTTTATGTAGCTGGTTTGACTCCACATACTAATTCCTCTTTATTCTCTTGGTTGGTAACCAGCAGGCATTTCATCTCTCTGCAAGGTAAGGACATAATTTGCCTCCTTATTAATATGTAATGATGCTCAATACTTTGTGTGAGTCATAGAATTGAGAATCTGAGGTTTTATTAAACCCTTTCCTTGCATAAGAGTAGTCTAAAGAGGCAAATGAGCTCAATTCTGTTTCCCAAAACTATTAACTGAATGTGGTGCGTTCATAAATTTCGTCCGACTTGTTGACGTTTTCCATTTTTGAAATTGGCACGATTCATCCCCAGATCACACTACTGATGAAAACCAAGCACGCAAATCTCTGTTATTTCCACATTTGAACAGTTTTTGCAGATTCTTGCCTCACTGAGCGCAGCGTATGGACGAGCGATAACACGTTAGTTAGACTTGGCAGCATGACTCTTCAGGGCTGCACCGAGTAATGTTGTTTTCATCAAAGCATGTCTGGCGCCAAGTTATGTTTGTGCTGTCTAGTGAAAGCAGTGGTTGCATTGTAGCCACCGGTGGCAAAAGTCAATTTAAAGTTCTGTTTGGACTCTCACATGCTCATGAGGACCGTGCACATGCATCTATTTGCTAGCGTCTCAGCAGCTTGGAGCGGGAACACTTGGTTGGTGTGGGACTGAAGCCTATTTATTCATATTCCGAGTCTTTGTGAGGTTCCGCTTGACTTCTCTCACAGACACTGTCTCAGGCATACACACACAGCCACAGCAGGGTACATGTACACAGGGGTCCTGTGTGTCTCCTTCAGTCACGACCCCACTACTCGCTCTTCTTCCCATGCTTGGATCCCTTAATCTTCTGTGGCTAAATAACTTCCAAACTACCAGGCACAAACTCATCTGAACTTTGATTGATGGCCAAAGTGTTTCACAAACAGAGCTACTGGTGCAGAAGTCAGAGAATTTTGTTTACAATGATTAATTTAATTTGGCTGCTGGTGTTTGATCTATACAGTCGTCACCTGAGTGAAAAAAAAGCAGCAAAAAGCCTTTAGCATCTCTAGTTGAAGCACCATGAGATCTGATTACGCCCACTTTCTGTATTATCCACTAGTGGCACAACAGATCGAACAGCCGGGTATTTGATTTTCCTTGTTGATAACGTCTGAACGAGATACAAAGATAAAAGATAGAATATCTTTGCTTGAGCCATGTGGGTTCTGGGCTTTTAAAAGACATCTGACTTGTATAAAAACTCCTGGTGCTTGACTTCAGAATCTTTTCAAGAGATTTCTCCCATATCTGATGAACGCATGTTGATTTAACTCGGAGATAATCGACAAATATGTGTGTACTTGTAGATAACTTTGAAAGCATGTTCCCCTAAGTTAAAGGTTGGGTAGAACAGATGTCAGTAAAGGACGGAATGAGGTTTTATTGTTGAATTTGATGACTTGCAAGAGTTAGCTGGAAGACAGCAGTCAAGAAAAAGTTTTTTTTTTCTTTTGTCGTCTCTTCGATTATTTAGTATTCGAGAAAGCTCGTATGTCATTTGCATTGAAACACTGAAAGTGACAGTGTTTGGACACCTTTAGGATGAGGCGTCACTTTCTGTCCATGTTTTTTTTCTGATGTGTGCAGGGGGCTGCGATGGAGAGATCATAGTGTGGAACAGCAGCACAGAAAAGGCTGTAAAGAAACTGCAGCGATGTGATGACCATAAAGATTATAAGACTCAACAAAGTCTCGCTCTTACAGGCAAGTGCTTTACATTTTAAATGGCTTCATGTATCTCAGGGGGATTCTTTACCTGGTTTTGGCCTTTTGCTTTATCTGTCTGTGCTCAAAAATTGGCCATTTCTTTCTCTCCTCAACTGATTTGGACAGACGCAGAGAATCACGCTGCCATTACAAAACTGTTTTTCATACCAGGACGTGCGTCTGCTTCAGGTAAGAAAGTAAAAAACTACTCATCGACATCTTTGTGTTGCATTAAAGGTCAGTTAGGGTCAGTTTTCTTTGCTCTCTTTCTGTGGTGTCCTTGACCCACACATAGACCCACACATACTTGGCCTTTCTCTTACTTCAGTGGATTGGAAAATGAAAGTGCGATGGTCACTGGAAAAATGACCAGCTTTCCATCGGGCACCTCATACTCTCCACATTCAGACAGAGATACAAAAACAAATAAGGGAAGCTTTGCAAAGAAATAATAATAAAAGAAAAATGTGTGAAATAAATCATTAAAAAATATCTGTTAGGATGAACTCTTTATGGAAAATAGATCCAAAAAGGAGTCTGCTCCATTCCTTCCAATTTGTTCTAAAAACATGTCTCGCATATAGATGAACTTTAATGGTTTATCCTCGAACGACAGTCTAAGGGGATGAGATCTTTGGCACTTCAAATCCTTTGTAAAACTGTGGGGACAGTATCAGAAATCCAATGAAGAACAAATTTCTACTTGAAAAAGAAGCACCTAGAGAAGCTCCAAGAGACTAAAATTCTGTGCCAGTGATTGTTTCCCAGAGTAGCAGAAGATAGGCCCAAGGCCATTTCTTGATTTATTTGCACTCTGACGCAAAAGTCATTAATAATGTGGTGTTCGAGATGCGCTGGAAATATGAACCTTCAGCTTTTTTGGGAATCAATATGTTTTCCTCCCTAAAAATGGCTAGTTTCTTTATAAAGATCCCTCACGTATGACTACTTTAGTTTTAGCTCCCAGGCTGGACTTGTATATTATGAAAAAGTTAAGTTAACTCAGAATGATAAAAGAGATCCACAAACAAACGCTGTTTCCAACTGCCAATCTAACGCCTTTCCTTTGTTGTGGAAAATAAAGTCTTCTTTGTGTGTGTTGTGTATTTATGTCTTAAACTTAAGTGTGTGGGTGTAATCTGCCAGGATCCCGAACATTTTAACACACCAATGAGAAATTGATGTGCCACGTTCTCCCGATGTTTACTAATCATCCAGTTCAATAATGTGACCTTGTGGGGTATGATTGTTTCTTTGCTTTTCTAACTAAAAAAGAGGGAAAAAAACAAAAATTTGTGTGTCTTTGAGTTTTGCCTTTATTTATTCTATGATAAGATTTTGCCTTAGCTCACTGGAAAGGTTCATCAACCTCCTCCTCTTACTAAGGGAGGTTTGCAGTGGATTAGTGGACTGGTTATCTACTGGAATAGTTTTCTATAGAACAGTTTTGCTTTTGGGTTTAATTGTGTCAGATGCCACATTCAGGATAAGTATAAAGGGGGGATTGTATTGGCAACAATAAGGGTCATTTTGTAAATTCAAGTTAGACAGACATTTATTCAATCACAAATACTTGTTGTTTTTGCCGGACAAGATAATCACTGAATCCACTTCAGATTGTGCAGATTTGGTGTCCTGTGGCGGCATGGGTGCGGTCAGGTTCTGGAACATCCACCACGGCCGTCTGGTAGGACAGTTTACAGCTCACACCCGGGGCCATGGATTGAATGTAATGACGGTCAGTCCCTGTGGGAAATATTTAGTCACGGCTGATAGAGTTGGAACCATAAAGACGTGGGACATCAAGGTAGGTTTTTATGAGGCTTAAATAGGATAAATCAACTTTCCCTAAAACTGAAATCCTCCTCCCACCATCACATTTTTGAGTATTCTAACAAGAGGAGAGAGAGAGTGACAAAGACTGAGAGCGAAATGAAGATTGAGTGATTCAGAGGGATCAAAACAGGGACTGCAGGAGGCAAGAAAGAGAAAGAGGGCTCTTGAAATTTTCATTAGATAGAAGATTTTCTTTCATGTTTGTCATTTATGTCAACTACAATCAAGAGAGCGAATCATCTGGAAAATGTCCCCAGGTTTATGAGCAGAAAGGAGTCATGCCCCACATCCCTTTTTGTGATTTATTTGAAAATATCATAGGCCAATTCTGTGGCTGAGAACAGCAGTTTTTCCCTTTAATATCTCCCTAATTTTGAACAAAAATCTAAAATTGAAAGTAAAATAAATTTGAAGGAGCATATAATCACAAAGTATAAAATTATTCCTAATTCTTATTACTTTAAACTCGGATTCCCCTCATGACATGAAACTATGTTGTATATGGAAATGAAAGAGTTTATAATACCTCACAGAGACCTTTTGACTTTTTGACTTGGAGTGCGGAGACTTGGATCATACCATTGGTGTGAGGCATAGCTACATCACGGTCATGCTCATAATCACAGTAAAAGAACACCTCTTGGGTATTATTACCACAATATTCAGAGCTCAGCTCTCCGTCACAGATTATAAGAGAGTATGAATTCAGATGGCTACATCTCATTTGGCTTCCAGTTTAATTTATGGAGATTTATGTATATATGTAGCAGAGTTGAAGGAGTTGGGCAAGCTCAGTGCTCTGGTAGAAATCCTGTCCTTCGGCAAGTCTGGAGCAAGCTTTTGAATTAGATGGATGACTAACGTGATTGCAGAATTTATAGATTTGTGTGCTAAGACACAGGACTTCTCAAATACAGCACAGGTCTTTCCATTCAACAATGAATGAGGTAGTTTCTGTAAACAAATACCACAGCTAAGCCCTAAACCCTTCACACCCATTCATATTTATACAGAATTAGCATTCGATCGGTGTGTTCTCTGTGATGATGAACTGACAAATGATCAAAGACAGTTAGGCTTTGTGCTAGATAATTGATTAATCAAGACCATTTCTACTCTTTATTTTTTCATATTTGAACGACAAAAATACCATGAACAAAATCATTCACGCTCATTCTCTGTAGTTCAGTAAAAGCTTTTTCGTTTGTCCAGCTGCAAACAACGTTGTTGCATTTTTCAGCTCTCTGCAATAACTTCCAGGTCTTTGACTTCAGGCTTCTTGATTTCTTTTTGTTGCCTGGCCTTATGTTTCGTTCACAGATTCATGATTGAATTCAGTCCAGCATGCTGCTTGGTGCTGGTTTCTGTTTATCATTTTTTGGCCGCTTGAGCTGTATATATTGGCTCACTTTGTTGTTGAACGCTCCATTGCTGCCAATTTTTTCTCCAAATTACAGTCAATATTGTCCCCTCCTGCCAGTTTTTAATTCCTATTTAAGAACAAAAAAAAAAGTATTTTTTCTACAAATTATGCATATCAAAATAACCTCCCGTGATCTTCGGAAGACTATGGACTGACTGTGCTTTTTTCCTAGGTCATTGAATGGGGATCTGTGGAGTAGAGCAATTCAATTGGTCTATTCCACATTCTCATCCTCCACTAGGTCACAGTGTTCTTCCCTGTTTACTCTTAATCTGTGCTATGCTCTGTTTAGTACTTTTAATGTTGAAAAGTAAAAATTTTCAAGAATTCATTCATTCAAGTATTTCAAGTATTATCAAGAAGATGACGTACTCATGCAATCAGATTGATGCAGTATAATAATGTCTTAATGCATTTTATGGCTCCACCAGTATTAGAAAGGTAGTGCTTGCTGGCCATGGGCCGTGTGAGCTCTTGGTTTGGACTGAAAGCTCACCAAACTCTTTCTCCCAGCCAAGAGAGCCCTTAGCTCTGTTGTATTAAAGCTCCATTTTAGCTGTGAGTGACACTGAGAGGCCACTTTGTCAAGAACTTTGAAGCTAGCAGAGCTGACTTTAGTGAAAAATAGCTGGGATCATCTGAACCACGGGGATCCCACAGCCATGAGCTGTTCACTTGAACAAGATACAGCTGAGCTAGCTCATGTTGTTCCTGGCCAAAAAAACTATTTACTAAAAGCTCATGAGCCTTAATCTCAGCTCAGATGTAAGGTCAAATGGCTTCTTGACCAGAACTGATCTCAAGCAGCTCGCTTGCCCTGCCAAGCCATGTCTTATTGCTCATCTGCACTGTCACGTCTTTTTTTTTTTTAACTATCTGCTATTTTCTTGCAGATTTCTTGCTAGCAATTTTTTTTAATTTTGATCAGTTCCCCACATGTAATGCAATTGTAAGGTTTCATTAAGTAATTCACTTAAAACCCATGTGGCATTATACATCGGTTATTCTGTGACCGCACTACTCTGATTATGTAGGTTCTTGTCCATACACCCAAAACACTGTAAGACATGTTAAAGTCTTCTTGACTAGCACGATATTTAGACTTAAAGCTTAAATTTTCTTTCAGTCACAGCAACTGCGTTTACATGGGCTCTTCTGATTTTTAGCATCACTGTCTCGAGCCAGATGAAAGGCTGAATGAAGACCTCCCAGAACTTCTGCATCATTTCCACCTGCACTTTGATGATGTGACACACTTGGAGATTTTCATGCATGGCCATAGATGCCTGCTCCTCTCATCATCGTCAGACTGCAGCGTAGCTCTTAGCTACCTGAATGGGGAGACCATAGGCTTGTTTGGACAGGTAACCACACACTCACAGCTCGTCTCAGCCCCTCATAGTGTAATGTGACCTGCATGTTCCAAGTGAATCGTCATTTCGATAGGCTATTCAGCACCAACCTGTGAAGGTAGCAGCCTTTGATCTTCACAGTTCGCCAGTGCTGGGGGGCAGGCTGGCTCCGATAAAGTCTAAGGATGGTAGCATCCTGTTGACTAAAAGAATGTGAAACCCAGCGTCAAGCCACGGTTCGGCATTAGTGTGTTCACGTCAGAGGAGGACTATAGTAAGTTAGCCTCAGGTGGTGGATGCTCAGTGTTGCTTCATTTCAGCTTGCCTTAGGCCCCCCACACGCAAATACACTCTCTTACATACAGTGACACAAAATAATTCATAGAAACTTGCCGCAACCCAAATTAGTGCATGTAAGAATAACAGCTGACATGCACATGTGCACCAATGGATAAAACAATGAGAAGCGATTTAGTTTGATTCGATAGATTTTGGTGAATCTTAACACTCTGCAAAGTTTTACACCACATGCATTTAATTACTTCACACCAGTTCATTACATAATGTTAGATTAATTCATAGTCTGCGCTACGTTTACCGGCAGAGGGATTCTGCTAATGAAGGGCTACATACATATTCAACGCATCAGGTTATCAAAGGATACACTGTTAATTATGAATATGCTTTGGAGCAAAAAGGAAATACAGAGACAGCGAATCATACAAAAGTGCTTTTCTACTGCAGTTTAATCTCATTGAAACTAGCCCTCGGGTTTATGTCTCCACATCCTGATGATCCCATAATCTGTTGATTCAGAATAGAAATCTTCTGTGTCACAAGGTTAACTTTGGCACATCGGCATGCTCAAATATGCCTCTTTCCTCTGCTGTTCATCTTCCTTATCCGTAGGAAGACCATTGGAGCTTGGAGAAACTGCTCTCAGGACAGAAACCAGATCAGGATGGGAGCAACTATGCAGGGCAAGAAGAGCCGCTTTTAGAGGGGAAAAATCCCTTCCAGTAATCTGAGACTGTTGTTGACCAAGGACTAGATGAGGATCAAGATAAGAAAGAGGTGGGAATATGTGGATGAGGACAGAGAGATGTAAATGTCAATTTTTTCCAAGTTGAAGACTCAAAACTGGTTTAATGCATTTTGCTGTATCTTTCCAAATCCAATTGAATATTTCTTTTAGCGGATTATTTCCATGATTGATAAAAGTGTAAGTTATTTAAATTATTCTTTTCAGTTGGTATGTCATTACTATACAATAAAAAGAAACTAGATATTTCAAAACGAGAAAGCAGAATATTAAAAGCAGATATAATTCTGACCACAAAACCTAGACCCATACATACAAAGCTATATCTCTTAATCCTACATGAAATAATTGGTGCTTTCGCTGTAATTAGGGTGTTACAGGGCTGCGACCTTTGGCTGAAGGAAGACGTCATTAAAATGATAGTCAGTGAGTGAAAATCAGTTGTCCTTGTATTTGGTTCTTGTTTTTTCATTTTTCTTTTGCTACATAGCCACATACATTCATGCTCAGTGAGCAGAACAAGAACTTTATAAAATCAAATCATCCACAGCAGTGCCATCACTTGATGGGGGCACTTTTTATTTGTGCTTTAGAATGAATCATTTTTGGCTTTTTTTGTGACAGCCCACAGTCTGTCCTTCACTTCACTGAATATACCTGTATAAGAGCGTAGGGGCCAAATGGAGAAAGTCTTTTCTAAATAAAATGTTTTGTTAATGCCTTCTTTATTGAAGAAGGGACTGGTTAACTAATCAGAAAGTCACTGATGGGCTTCTATTGAAAATATGTGTTGAGACTTGCTTTGAGAAAGCTCGCTTCGTTTATGATGAAAGTTCTGGTCACTGTGGGATTTCTTAGATTTCTATTGTTCATGCCTCCACTGAGCAAAGCAATTATTTTAGCTTATTAACACCATTTATTTGCTCATTATTACCACCTAAGACTGCTCAATTCTGCATTCCTTGCAGTATGTTTCAGATTATTAAAATGGAAAATAGTTATGTTGGCTGAGCTGGTGGAGTAAGGGCGATGTTTGTCAACAACCACTGATGTGCAGCCTTTTCTAATTTTATTTCTGTGCTCTGGGACCGTAAGATGTGTCTTGATAGCATGATCTAACATTTGAGACCATGAAAGACATGAGATTATAGAGTGCTTTATCTTTTCAATGTGAATTGAAATGTGGAATTACAAAAAAACGTGAATTCATGTTTGTCCTAATTAGCAGGGAGGAAATCGGCAACGTTGTATTTATTGAACCAAATATCTACTTAATATGGCTAAATGGATTTAATTTGATTGTTTTATTGTATATTCGATTGGGAACGGTATCAAAAGCACAAGGAGGTGGGCAATTCAGAGGACAGTCAAGGACTATTTAAAAAGTGGTAAATAGTAGTCCTCTTCAGCCTGTGTTGACATTTTTGGCAGTTTTTTTTGTACAGTCATGTGGTTTCTGCTCTTGAAGCTATTGGGACTCTTGTGTAATCTAAACCCGTGTCAGTCACTGAATGCTTGCTTTTATTATTGGTCACCTTTCACACTTTGAAGTTTTCTGTTACTTACCGCAATGGAGTTGGATAACTCATAAGGCTGAGTCCATAAAAATTATTAAAACATCTTCTCATCTGAGTACTAAAATATTATCATAACACTTTATTCAATTGATTAACTCACCAGTCATCATAAATGATAAAGGTAGGATGTGGTTGTCAACGTTGCTTCAGTTTTATTGAAAGATATACATCACCATTTTTCTCCAACCTGAAGTCCCTATGGGACATAGTTGGAAATGGTTAAGAAAAACACTTGACAGATGATTGAATGAATTGTTGATTCATTAATCACAGGCTAATTTTAATCAGTTAGATCAACAGAGCGGAGCTGCTTAATGAAATTAAATGGAACTTTGCTTGGGAGAGAAGTGAAAACATCTTTTTAATCAGGAATATATTTTGTAGTCTTTCCTGGGATGAAGAAATTATTTTCAGCTCTGATATATGTCACCATACCTTGTATAAGCATCAACACTTATATCTTCATTTATGACATTTATTAACTATAAGTCAAGCAGTGCAGCTGGAACAGGAAACTGAAGGATCTGAAACAGCTGCTGCAGCCACAGACACAGCATGAGGTCTGGACAGATGGACTGAAAAATCCACCTGTCTTTCGTGATGAGCAGTATGACTGTCTTTTCTAAACTCAATGGCAATTAAAAGTCACTGAGATATCTCATTACACTGGATGCTCTGGTGATGATAAATCAGCATTTCAGAAGGTTGCTATGAATTTTAGTCTGGACTAAAATGACAAACACACATTGACAAATCAGAAAAAAACTAAATAGAAATCTAAACTCCACAGTTTGATGAATATGATATTGGTCAACATGGCTTTCTTTTCAAAGAAAATAACAGCCTTATAAACTGAATCTCAAAGCCCTCAAGCTTGTGTTAAGATATGTTTTACTTAAGTCATTTAAAAGACATCGAATCACAGCTATAAATATCAAAGCCTCTCTCAGGAAACTATATAAAAATCATGTCAGTATAAATGCTGTCAATTTTTAATGATGCTGAGATTGGAAGATTCTGTATAAAATTTATAACAGCAGATAGGAGATGTTCTCAGGGCTAATCAACAGTATGCAGCACACCGTAAGAGAGAGTATGGAAAATGTTGAGACCTTTATTTCACTGATTGGAGGTCATAATTGGCTCCAAACAGTTTTTTTTTTATTCTGGTGATGGCTCACAAAGAATGATACAGAATACTGATGTCATATACATCCACTGAAGAGTAGTTTAAGAAGTACAAAGGAAATGATGGACATGGAGAAAAGGGGGCATTTGAGTGTTTCAGTTGAGTTCAAGGACAAGTTAAGAAAGGGCTCGACTGTTTTACAGTATAACCAACTTCTTAAACTCATGAAATTGGTTAGCACTGGGGCAGTGTCTGCCATATCTCTTTGGACAGAGATCAATACTGATAGTGTGACTCTTTCTGATTGTCTATGTGTGTACTTGTGAGAGTGTGTGTACCATACTGAGCTTATCAAAAATTTTGTGCGGTTGCTTTAGTGGAGGAGCCAATTGGCGAGTCTTGACTGGGCTGCCAGCCAGCTACTGGGCATGAGGTGAGGAAAGGGAATGGCTTCACTCCATCACCAGCTGAGTGTGTGAGTGAGTGTGTGCGTGTGTGTTTGTGTGTGTGTGTATCTAAATAGCCCCAGTCCATCAGTGCAGCCATTCACCAGTGAGTGAAAGTGTCAGGTCTGTTCCGCTCGCTCCATCACTGCTTGTGTGTATGTGTGTGTGTGTATGTTTGTAAGTAATACAGGAGTCATGGATATTGATGGGTCTGGGCGCTCAGTCTAATCTCTGCAGAAGCACAAAGTACCCTGTCGTCCACAAAAGATATAAGAGAAGCTTCCCTGTGAAGCACACGCTCTGAGAGGCCATATGGGATTCATTCTCTGGGCTTCTGCACAGCCATAAAGATCACTTGAAATTATAACAAAGTAGATCAGAAAATAGAATGCAGGTAACATTTCTAACAGCGAAACCAATCCTTAAAATTTGAATGTCATTAAATGTAGCACCAGCCTCACGCTCCTGTACAATGTGGAGGTGGAAAAGCAATTACAAGCAGGCAGGTTGATTTTGATTTTAATTGGGGCGCTCACTGTGAGTTCCACCTGTTGTTGTCAACAGCCAGCAAACATAAATGTGGGGCTGTCGATCCCATGGCTTAATCTCCATTTCCCCCTCCAAGCCCTTTGAAAAATGGATGAACAGTTTTAGTGCAAGGTGGTTAAAGACAGTACTTAGTAACATGCTTGTAAAAATAATTCACATCATACTGTAGCTGTGTTAAAATACTTTACTATTCCTTGATACATACAGTATATACATGTAAGGGTGTCTGTAAAAGTATCCTTGCATGTAATTGTGGTTATTCACACTGAGACGGAAGCCTGTCTGCTTTATTTTACGAGCAACGGGGAACATTAGTTTCATGTGCCTCATCCTGATCATTATCACCCCTCCTTTCCAAGCCAGCACATCTCCAACTAATGATGGGCACTAATGACGAAGCTACAGGCCATTATCATTCATGTACAGTCATGTACACTCGTACATCCATCTCAGAGGGTCAGAAACACAAAGATGAACACAGTCAAATATGCTGCAGTGTATGTTACAACCTCTTCCTTGTATTAATCTACAATTCAAAGTAAGTCCAGCATGCAAATGATGTGTGCCCAGATATTCCCAATTAGTTTTATTCACTGTGCGTAAAACACGGGGCCACAGCTCAGCGGCAATGTGTTGAAAGAGTGAAGTTGAATTACGAGGAAGTGGGCTGATGAGGCTGGCCTGCTGCTGCACACCCCTGAGCACACAGCGGTGTTAGCATTTCAAATTGAGCTACACGCTAAACAAGCAAAGCAGCTTGTGAGTGCTAACTCATCTGTTTATAGCAGGGGCTTGTCTTGTTTGTTTTCTTTATGTTTGAGTATCAGTGTGTGTGTGTTAGTGTTTGCTTGATATTCTTTATCTTAATAATATGAAAACAAATTAAATTTCTTGGTGTGTGCTTGCGTGTCTTCGAAAAAGTGTGTGGAGCTACCTATGCATCTGTGCTCTGGTCTGCTTTTTAAGGAGTTTGTCTTAGGGGCTAAGCACTCGTCATGTAAATCAGTGGGCTATTAGGAGAGCTGGCTCCCCGTCCTCTGCTTTCTTATGAAGATGAATATGAACTAGGCTGGTGTTAAAGGAGAAAGGAGTGGAAATGAAATGAACTCTGTGATTAAAATGCTCTGCTTTATGGGTCTCTGGGTGAAATCTTCTTATCCAGTGTAATCTTACATCATTTGCATGCTTCAGTTCATTTTGGTTTTGCAGTTTGAGACATTCGGTCAGTTTTTAAAGGGACGTTCAAGCTGCGCAAACATTTGATGAGCACCTACATG